AAAAAATATAAAAAATGTTTTTCTAGGTTATTTTGAAACTAGAACAAGATAATAACATCCTCTTCTAATTTGGCCGTGGTCCAATTTCACCTCTCTTATTTCGTTTGCTCTTTCTGCGTTATTTTTTGTTTCACTCGCACCCTAAATTTTAGTAATTATTTTATCTTTGAACACCGCCTTCATGTGTTTGAAAATGTTCGTTTCCATATACAGAAACATTTCTGTTATTGTAAGTCTATAGGTCGCTTCCGGCCCTTTGGAGAGTAAAGTCTGACGAATATAGTGACAGGAACGAAAAGGCCCAGGCGTGGACTACATTATTGGCGGTGTACCAAGAAAAATACCCCTGAGCTAAGGAAGACAATGCAAAAAAAGGTTCTTCTCTCTCTGTACTAACTTTGTTGAAGAAAGTACTTGCCAGTATAAAATCAGGAACAGACCCAGACAGTTTGTATGAATCAACCAAATGGTACATACAAACAGTGTATATATAAACTAGGAATGAACCGAACTATTAAACAATTCCAATTGATTTACCCTACCAATAAACTGCACCAGGTCCATTGAAGTTCTTACTGATCGTATCTCTAACAGTTTTTGCCCTTGTCGGATTCCTGACACCGCGATTGTTTTGAAGCGGAATGTGTCGTATGTTTTCTTGTCTACAAGATCCAGCAGCTATTTCCCAGTCTCTACAACCTCTTGGTCCACAGAGTCTGCTGGCAAATATGTATTCGCTTGATGTTGTAGAAAATTATGTAAATAACAAGCCAATGCAAATCTCCTAACTTTTTCTGTATCTAGCTAAATACGTGCCCGAAATATTCTAAATCTTGAAGCCATTCTCCGAAATACTTTTTCTAAAATACGCCGAGCCCTACATCCATAGTTGAATATTAGCTGCTCTTGAGTGATGCCAGTTCCTTGGTAAGGTTTCATGATGTTAGGAGATAAAGGAAATGCGTCATCACTCACAGAAACATAAGGGGCAGATCTTCAAAAATCAGACAAATTTGTATCCACAGGAAGGTGTAGCTTACCGTTCAACAGCTTCTCTCCAAACTGCGTGCATCCCAACGTACTACTATCAGAACCACGACCATTTATGTCACAATCAGCCATCAGGAATTCGTAATTAGCATTCACTACAGCCAATTTGTTTGCCAATTACCACGTGTTTTCCATCCATGACTACAACGCAATGCGAAAAATTCTATTACTCACTGAATTGATGTGCCACTCTACCACTGTGCGTAGTTCCTGGCCAACTGAAAAACAAAAATGAAAAGAGGTGAACCAGTACCATTTTTAGCTTTTTTAGTTATTTTGTATCTAAACCCAGATTATTATTTCCAACTCGATGTCACATACGTCCTATAGTTGTATGAACACCATAATTTACATAAACTCTTTGTTTGAAACGTCTTTGCTCTTTGGTAATTTTTGAAACTTCAACATAGACAGATCAAATTTTTGATTCAGGATTCTGTTTCTCTACCTACTGAGGAAAATGAGAGCATTGTGCCTTCCGGCCAACAGTCTCTCTCAGACCATGCTCAGCAGATTAATCAGGTGTGCCTAATCTCCCAATCTGCCGCGGTCACAGAATTCGAAATACGTTGATATTAATAACCAACAGATAGCTAATGAGCATTTCTACTACTAATTTTTCCTTTTTTTATTTACAAAAAAGGAAAAATTATCAATAATGACTTCTTCAACTTGAACTAGCATGCTCACGACTACGACAACCTGCCTCTGCTCATGATCATATTGTTACAACTTGGACAAAAGAGCTCGAGGTTATGGCAACTGGCGGTCTGCAGGTGTACATCAAAAAATTAATTAATGAAAATCGGTTTGAAGGACAAATGGGTATACTTCACCGCTATTCAGAAGTCATCAATCAACCAATGCGTGAAACAGTAAGCACTACCCTTAGTTCCCACTCCAGATCGACTGAGATAGCACGTTATGAAGCCTTCAATATCTTGTACGATTCTCATCCTACCAGAATATTAAACTTTGTCGTTTGCAATTATAACGGTAATAAACTGTTAGAAGAACCACCCGAACGAGGACCACACGAAGATACAAGTTCCTACTTTTCCAATTTCCAATAGGCTCGAACAATCGAACCAGTTATTTTTCACACTTTTTCCCCACATTGTTTTATACGCAAGTCATCTTCTTTTTCATGTTAATTTTATATGCCATTTCCTTTTTTGAGTTGGTTTTATTTAACTACCAGTACAACTTATTAATTCTGTATTACGTACATAGTGTACATGAATGAATAATGTATACTCGTATAATATGATTTTAAATAGTAGGACCGTACAATACTATTTCATATATAATTACTATATGATTACACGTTCTTTAAAGTTTCAATATTTGCAGTTTTCTTACCTGAATATAATAATTTAAGCATACGCAGTGTCTCGCATGTCTCCATAACGATTTCACCGATAGTATCGGATCTATGTGCAATGAACATTTCAAGTGCTCAATGCTGTTCAACTCTTTAGGCACGTGGCTATAATTTTCTCGAGTTCATTCATCTGTTTCTTCGTTAAAAGTGGCCATATTAGGGATATGCCAAATGTAGCCACCGGTAGTACTAAACCATCAAATAGTTTCATGGCCGATTCCAGTGACATTTGCGTCAGATACTTTATGCCATTGCAGCGGTAAGTCTTTGTTTCAGGTGGATTTGAAAACATTCCTGATATCTGTAAGGTGACTTCCAGGTAGCATGGTGTCTGTGTGACATCGAGTAGTTTCCTTCCTGAAAGTTTCACTCTTGGCTAGCCTTCCATCTTTCCTGAACACCGTGACTTCAGTCTTGTATGTATGATGCGCAATTCATTCTCATTCGTCCTTATAAGTAGTTGGTCAATGCTTTCTGCAATTCCTCTCTGCTCTCAGCTGCAATGGCAATGCCATCTGCAGCTGGTGCCCCGACAGACTGGAGGTTGCATCTTCATCGAATGACGGAAATGTAATTTCGAAAATTCAAAATACGAAAATATAATGAAAATGTAAGCAATTCAATTTAGTTCAAACTAAGTTAAATTAAAGTCTATATTGAATCGTTATTTACATAATTTTATGCGTCGTGACCGAGTGAGGTCCCCTCTCACGCACGTGGTTCTGACTTTGATTTCTACTGGTCACTTACGCTCGACTCGTTCACATAGCAACAAACACTATTGCTTCGAAACGTTTCAGCTAGGTCGAATTTAGTCGCTGTCTGGAGGAGAATTCTAGCGGCTGGCTGCTCTGATCGGAAGTTTTCCATGGTTTCTCCCGATCAACACCAGGCGAATGCCGGAGCAGTACCCAAACAAACGAGCCACGGACCGCGCGCGATCTTTCCTACCTCTTCCTTGTCCTATCCTGTCTCCTTACACACATACTCACTAACACGCACTACACAAGCACACATGCCGGGTCACCGGTCGGGAACTTAGAACTTGTCCCGACTGGGACGGTGCCCTGCTGGTGGGAGATACCTGCTTGGGGGAAAACCACGCTAGCCGACGGTAGGTCGGCGCCGGATCTCGCCGTACAGCAGGGGAAATATCACCGCCACCTCCCGAGCAAAAACATGCACTAATTTCACTAACGGGACTAATGACCCTGGTAGTTGACGTGCCCGGAATCGCTAAACAATCAATCAATAAATCCACACAAATAAAATTATTTTATTTCGAAAATACCATTTTCCTGGTATATTTTGTAACAAAGATGTTCACACGCTCATATTCTACCAGCGCTCCTCGTGGTGTAACTGCAACCTGCAGCATCTATCGAGAAAGGGACTTCTTTCCAGATCGGACCTTCCTTCCAACTTTACACAGAGTTCATCAAGTGTTCATTTTAAATCCGTAAATCTAACATCAAATGAAAAAAACATCCTCTAAACATCATAAATAATGCATTACGTGCCGTCAATAATTGACTGAACTTGCGACTTTTCCAAGGCAAGCGAAATTCATAAAATTACGATGCAGTGAGTCAGGTGAAGATAGAATTTTGGTATTCCCTTGAGACTGCCTCCGTCGTCGCACAGCGCTAGACAGCGCTTCCCGCCTGGTTGCCCAACCAAAAAGTCAAATGTTGCCTGTGTTAAATCGAAGGGCCAAAGAGTAAATGCAGTAAACCCAGTAATACAGCAAAGTCCAAGAACCCGGAGAGATCGCCAGTTGGATACTATTTGGTTTCAAAACGATTTCATATACATCGATATTACTGCAATATCTTCAATGTTGAATGTCATTAAATTAAAATGTATATTTCTAAGATATTAAGAGATATTTTTCGATTATATCTAGAAGTTGTGCAACCGTGAAACCTAAGCACGAGCCGCCACTGTATGATACCTATGCTGTTGTCTATTTGGATGAGGTTCCTCTGAAAAATGCCCATCACTAGCGTTGTGATCAAGGTTTTTCCTGCTATCTTACTAGTTTACTTAGCAGTTTTTGCTTGTCCACGGTACCAAATGCTTCTGACAAATCTTGGATTGAATCATGCTATAGATTGAACTATGGATTGAAGAAATGCGAGTAGAGTGAGCGAATTAGTTACAACATCGAACACTAGATTTTACTAAGCAAAGCCAATCTGGAGAATTAGTCATGCCTTCGCAACTTTCTCAGGAGTTCAAGATATATCCTGTAATGGATATTTACCTGCTTCGGTCATTTCTTTAGATTTGTTGGAGAAAAGCAGTTGAACAGAAAATAGTTTTTTATTTCCCGCCAGTGAAGATGTTTGGAATGTTGTCATCAGTACTTGCTGCGAACTTTTGCCTTCAACTGTTTATTGTGCCAGTGAAGGAGGAGCACGGTCATCGTTCAAGGAAAGTTGCTCCATTAATTAATCACACACCTTGGCAACCTCGTAATATAGCCAAAAACCCATTTATTCTTTAGAAATCGCTTACGTTCACAGCGAAGGTTGCCAGCCAACACTTTCCCGCCAAATGACGTCATTCTGGATATCTCTAGTCGGTCTCACTGTGTATGTTGGTAACCTTGTAGAATGAGAATGAGCGGGAAACGTTCACTCACAGTGCTGTGCTATCGGGACGTCGACGCCGCGTCTTGTGGCGTCTCGCCTATGTTCCGTCAAATAGGCTTGAATCAAATGGCTTCAGTGTAATCATTGAACTTTTGAAGTGAAGCATCGCGTGCGGAAGTGTCTGTAAGTTATCAGTGTTGATGTGAAGTACGAATTTATGTGATTTAAAAAATAAAAAAGTGTTATTTTAGTGAAAATGAGTTAAAATTTTGAAAAATGACGTCTTGAGCTAGGCGTGGTGTGTCGGATAATTAGTGTGGTAAAAACGTGTGAGGAACGATTCGACTTTTCCACTGTGCTCACAACCCATATAGCTTCCTTCAGAGTAGTATTATTTTTATAGGGCCATTTCATGACAACTCTGGTTATGGAGAACTGTCCGAAACCATCTTCGATTTCGATGAAATTTTGTATCCCGAGTCCTACATGGCTGGAAGGAACTTTTGTGAATGCTTCATATATGAACTATTTTTTGATGGGCCCCATTTTGATGGATTTGGATGACCCCATGCTCCGTCATTATGCTGAATGACTTTGATTTTGACAACTTGGGTTGCAATATTTCTTCTTATTGCTAAAGTAATGAAACGGAGCTTACGTGTATGACAGTTTCCACTGTGTAAATAAACTTTCATCAATTGTTCTTTTATTTATACACTATTGGTTAAATTGCAATAAAGTCACTGAAAAGGAAGTAGTGTTAAAAAGAAATTCCGGACTAACAATGAAAAACTTCAATTCAAAAGTAAGGAAAGCGAAACTTCAATCATAATATATCAACATTACATTGGTTCTGAAAGCATAATTGTGACCTTTAATCTTTTTATTCTGTTACTTCATAACTTTTGTTTAAAATTGATGATTTTTGCTGCAACCCCTAAAATATGGTATTTTCAGACTACCGAAAAATACTTTTCCAGAAATTCTTTCAAATTTGTCTCAGAAGCAGGTTTCCAAGCTTAATTTGAGATTAAGTGTAGCAGTGTTGGCAAAAAAAATAGTGTTTACTAAAGATTCCAGAGCTTGTTCTAAATATTCTTCAATAATGTAAGAAAATTGAAATAAGGACCAGGAATTAGATAAGATGTGCAAAATTTCACCCATTTTTCCATTGTGATAAGAACCCTGCCTTTGCATAATATTTTTAATGCATTATTTCAAACTAGGTCTTACCATTGCTGTAAATGTTAAGTGTTAAGTCGATGATTTTAATAAAAAGCACCAACATTTTCAAAGCATATTTACAGAAAAGTACTTAATGAAGTGTTTTAAAACATCATTTTGGAAAGAATAGATTTTAAAGTCCCTAGAGAAGTGGATTTATTCGCCAGTGCTGATATATAATGCTCCAACTTAGAAACAAAATTAGACCTTTGTTGTGATGGCAGGTTATATTTAAATAACAAAATTCCAGCTTGAAGCTGATAATTTTTTCATTGGTCTGTGGTGGTCATTCCTATTATCATTCGTTATAATGCCCAATATTATTGTAGTGCTTCGACTTAATTTTTTAGTTATTTCAACATTTCTTGTTGGTAGATGTTTGCATTGCCAATAATTTGGGGAGAGATGGCTAATAAAGAAAAGATGAATGTGAAATGAAATGTGCCATCCAGCCTGTTATTGATGAAGGGGCATCAATTAGTTTGTGTAATGAACTGATGTTTTAAATATGATCTTTCCCGGCTTATATCTGTTTTAATTTCTTTGACAATAGCAGCAATTGGAAGAATCAGAATGATGCAGCGAGTTAACCTCTTTCAAAGTAGGCAGAGGATGTAATCGGAAATAGAAGTGATGTAAATGAAGGTTAGATTGCATTGGTTACATTTGAGAAGCTCAAGTTACTTTATGTTGGCGGAGTTGAGGAAATGGAAAGAGATTGTTGTAAACTTTGTGTGTAGTGTTCCCAGGAGTGATATTGTTCCAAATATTCCACCAAATTCCACCACCTATGCAGGGTAATAGCAGTCTTGTCTCTATGCAAATTTGGTGTTAGGTTGGAAACTTTGTCTATTAGGTATGTCTCGAAGCTTCTGTATTCTTTTATACCTTCTACCTGCAGGGAGAGTGGGACAATATACAATTGACTCTGATTATAGTGAACCTCTTGGGACTTAAATTTTTGATTCACTGAATCTAATAAAGCAAAAATGAAAAAGTTTCTGCTGTATGATTGATTTAGTTAATATAGAGCTTCAGTAAATTATTTAAACACTACAAGTTCAAATTATCAAGATTATTCATTGAGCCTTAATATAATCATTTTTATACCTTTTTACCATGTGCCTAAAAAATACGGTAAAACTTGCTCAATGCAGACTCTCAAGGGATGTGCACTTTTTTTTGTGTTAGATAAGATTCCACATTATCCAAGTCGGTGAGCAAGTTTTACTGTATGTATATGTGTGTGTAAGTTGTTCAGAAAGAGAAAAGATAAAATCTAAATTTTTTTTTTCTTTTTAATTTTTTAAATACGTTTCCAGATTATTAATCTCTGAAAGTTGCCTTTCCTAGGTAAAATTAAAGACAAATTCTTTGATGTTAAATTGCTCCATTTATCCTTAGAATTTGGAATTGCCTTAAGTCCAGTCTAATTCCTAAAATTGTCTATCTTTAGAGAGTGTAGCAAATTTTGAAATACATTTCTTTAGTGTTACTTAAATTTAAATTTATTGTTAATTTTATTTTAATCTTAATTTCAAATGTATATACATGTTAATAAACAGCAGAAAGAGGAAAATGATGAAGTCGTTGGACGGAGAAATGATTATCAACTCCTTCCTAGAGACTCTTAAAACAGATTTTGAAGATATTCGCAAGATCGCTGAGGAATGTGGAAAAAATAAGATAAACAAAGAAGAAATCATGACATCATGTAAGTATACACGATTTTTCTTTCTTTTATATATAAGGAGCAATGTTCAAAAAGGTGACATGCCCATTTGCCAAAAATTGAGTTCTTCTGCTGATTTTACATAGAATTTTATTTTCAGGAAAAAACGATAGATGTTTCATGATACTTTTTAGTAGTACTCTATTTGTTGAGTTAAAGACTATGTTTAAAAGTGTAAAATTTGTGCTACATTTCCATTTTTATGGGAAAAGAGTGAAGTGGACATGTTGAATGTTTGCGATTGAGGAATTTTATTTATATATAGTGTTGGAGTAATCGAGTAAGAATAATTGAATTATTCTTAATAATTCAATTATTCTTGAATAAATAATTGAATAGAGTAAGAATAATTGAATGATTACTTGTAATCCTTAATTTGTTTCTAATCTTAGCACACCATTGTTATATCATGTGCAATCATGAATATTTTTTTAAATATGCCGATTAAGTTTGTTTAGCTCTCGAACTAAATGAGTTGGTAAGTACATTTACTTCACTTCATGAACTAGACTGAACACGAGGACCCATCCATTTTTCGTGGCTACATACCTGGGCAAAGATTAGTTTGTTTAAACTAGTTCATTCATGAACAATACATGTCTATGTGACAACGTGCATGCTCTTTTATTTCATTTCTTCCATGATCGCCACCAGTGCTGGATAAAATAATTTATGCTTCTGCAGTACTTCATAAAACAAACTGTAGTGTCCATCACTGCATATGCATTCCTTTCAGAGCCCCTTTAAACCATCTTTTGATTGGAAGTGCAATGATATACTTTTGGCAAAGAGATAGAATTTTAAGACACAGTTCTTTTGTAAAGCTAATGGCAAATTATTTGACAATATTAAGTAATGATAATTTTCAGATATAGGTTCTGTTGAAAATTGTCATTACTCTGTAATTGTAATTTTTCTAATTACATGCTGAATATGTAATTTGTAAATGTACTTGAGTAAAATATTTGAAAAGAAGTGTTATCGAGCCCAATTTTTTTTTTATCTACTTTTCCCAGCACTGTATGTATTTGTTGAGAAACATTATTGCCATATCCATATATACAATTTCTTTCAGGGAAGAAGAGAGTGGAAAGCAAAAAGAATGACTTTGAACAATTGAGGAAAGAATTACTCAATTGCGATCTTGAGCTAAAAACAAAAATTGCTGAACAAGAAGCCCAAAGAAGAGAAGAAGAGGAGCGAGAAAAACGGATAACTTTATTGAAGGAAGAAATCTGTGAACTAACAATAGAAAAGAAAAGTCTAGAAAAGGGTATTCATATTTTTATCATGTTAGAACCTATTTACTCCAAATTCTCTTCCCCTTTCTTTTCCTCCTATTCCTCTTCCTTCTCCTCCTTGTGACCTCCTTGTCTCATTTTCATCTTCCTCCTTCATCATTATTATTGTTATTATCATTATTATCATTATTATTATTATTATTATTATTATTATTCCCTTTAGATGTAATCTTTTGAAATTCTGTAAGGGCCACCATTTTCTATACTAGTCTACAGAATGAGTCTTTGGATGTTCTATTAAATTTCTGCATGGATCCACCTCTAAGAGCTAAATTTGAAAAACTAAGAGAGAAAGAAAAGAGGAGGGAAGCGAAACAAAACTTGTCTACAAAGCATGTGTTCTAAAATGCATTAAATATGTTCACTTGTTGAAAATAGTCCTTCCTTCATATCTGTTATATAGCAAAATAGACTACTTTTGTGTTTGGGTGGGTGGGAGAAACAAACAAATATTCCCCCTTAAAGCCATCACCCCACCAAAAGAGCACTTCTATCATGGAACCAATAGTGATAATTCAATATAGGTTTCACTAATGAATTGGAGATAGTTTTGCATACTTGAGAAGGTTGGGGGTATAATAATACATTTATTTGAATATTTTTCAATCCCCCCCCCCCATAAAAAAACTGTTTTTAATTAAACATTGATGCAAAACAGTTTCTAGAAGATTGAAGCAGGCAATACAAAATTTTTTAGAGGACAAGTGGCCAGGACCATTGAAGTAAAATTTATTGAGAAATCAAGTAAAAAATATAAAATGGGAAAATTATTCCCAAAACCGAAAATACATTCTCTCTGTATGGGTCTTTCAGAGAATGTGTTTAGCTCAAATTAGTCAGAATATAAATATGCACACATTACATTGTACAATGTGTTTTTTTCTAATGCAAGACAATATTGACTGATTAGGAGACACTTCATAAGGATGGTAAATCTTTACAAAATTTTATTGATATTCTTGCTTTTAAGGCAAAGTGTGATATGCTGAAGTAGATAGTCTATATACATTCTTGTCTTCGTAGAGAAAGTATTGTAATTGTGCTCCAAAAACCCACAATTTTTTTACCAAAACCCTTTTTGCAAGACCCTGGTAAGAAAGAAGTGGATGAATCATCTTCTTACATGTAGTAAATTACTTCCTTAAACACTCTGTGCATCTGTATTTTGTTGTTCTTGTTTCCAAAACATCAAATGACGTCATACTTCTGTCTCTGTATTGTCTACACTTGTGCCAATCTGTTCAGACTATTTTCTCCCAAATTAATATTCGGGCATAAATTTCAACTAACACGAGGCCCTGCTTGTGTGATGGGAATACTTCGATTTTTGGGCTACTTTACATAAAGCCTCTACATTTTCAGGGAAATGGCTCTACAGTTTTTGATTAAACTTTGTCCTCAGATAGCATAAAGCACTCTTTAAAAAGTGGTGCTGATTCATATTATATTATACGTTTAAATAGATTATGAACAGAGATCTCTGGTAATCAGATAAGCTAATTTTGTAAACTTCTTTTCTTTTTACATTGACTAACAGATCTTTCATATGTGACGATATATATTAAATAACATATTAATGATACGTGTTCTAGTGATTTCTTTATTAATTTTTGGAGGTGCTAAATAAACATTTAGTCTTTTAATTTTCTCTATGTTTTTATATTCGTTTGTCAAATTTATTCTACTTTTAATTATGGATTTTTCCAAGAAATACTTGCTTATGGTAATATTATATTCTTTATAGTGTTTCATTCAGCTAATGAAAAGATTTCTTGTATATAATTTTATTTTGTATTAGGTCTAATCGGTACAAAATCCATCCTAAATATTTATTCCATAAGTAGCTACTGACCAAATTATTGCTGGACATTAATTTAAAAATGATCTAATTTTGTAAAATACGTGAATGAAGTACCTTAGTTCCTTGACAGTATTTGTTATATGGACAATCCATTTTAAATGTTTGTTAATATGTACACCCAGATATTTATAACGGTCTTTTCTAGGTATTGTTGAAAAGTTACTATTTTCATTAATGTTGGTGTTGTGTTAATGTTATCAAAACGTGAGATGTTGTCTTTGTAGCTTCCATATGTTCAACTTTTTTTTTTAAATACATAATGTAAGATCATTTTGATTTAACCATTTACCACTTACATTCGTTTTTCTATCAGCTGAATCAATAACATTTTTCCCATGTATGGACTGAAACTATTATTACAACAAACAATACTATTCTGCCTGCTGGCATTAAATCGGTACCATGCAGAAAATCACACTTAACAATCAATTCTTCACTGTAAACATTCAATTTTACATATAGTTTTCTATTGGTTAAATAGCTTTCCACTAGTGCTTATAAACTAGCACTTATGAGCACTTCCTCTGCAACCCACTTTTTACTTTCTAATGCTTAAGAAGAAAAAGTTATGTAATGCTGCGCGAAAAAACTGGGAATTTTCGGCAGCAAAACTTACTTCAGGACCCTGGTGATGAAAAAGTGGATATATCTAGTTGCTAACTGTGGGGGTGGGGGGGAATCCACTAACACTTGTTGTAGCCAGAATCCATGTTTAGTTGGTCTTTAATTCTGAAAAGTAAATTGACAGCAAATTTTTCCCGTCTGTCTGTGAAAAACACTAGCGGCTAAACTGTTCAGCTAATACTAACTTTTAGGGAATATCAACAATGCAGGGAATGCAACAATTAAATTCCAAGTCATGCTCATGAATTACTTTGAATTATTGACATGATTTAGTTGTATCAAAAAGAGTTATAATTGACAGATTTGTGTGGATATTTGATTGAAAATATTTACTTTTTGCTCTGAATGCTCTACTATTTGTCATGAGTAGACCCCGGAAAATCATGCACTAAAAAAGTTAAAATTAAGCATGGATTCATGCACTTAAAATAGCCAATACATGTTCTTAAAACTCAGAATATGTGTTAAACAAAAATATAGTGAGCAACAGATAACATTTATTTATAATTAATATTAAATGTTCCTTTTACACTGTAGTACAAATCTCGTATAATAAATATATTTTCAGACATTGCAAAGAACAAAATGTCTGCTTTAGCCCATGTTTACGCAAAAATCTGGAATATATCTCTGCCACATAAATAAAAATATGCTGTTCATGAAAAAAATCCCAGAAATATTCCATTATGCAAAATAAAAATGGGCTGCTTTTGTTTTATTTAGGGTAATAGGTAAAGTTATATACATTTCCTTTTGATATGTGCAATCAATAAAAATATGCAACTGCATGAAGTTCGGTGATTTAGAAATGAGTAAATGGTGCTATATTTACACTATATATGAAAGTATGAACCAGTATTGCCGTTCATGATGTATTTCGCAGCAGTTTTTAATAAATTACTCCCCAGAATGCCCGGTGAGGTATGTTATATAACATTTAATATCATCTGATCTGTAAAAAAAAGTATTGCGTATTGAATAAAGGAAAAAGTACATAAACCATATAACTTAAAAACTTGAAGATAACTATGCCCATGAAAATTTGTCCATCTGAGCATGTAGTAATTTAAACTTCTTTTATTCAAAAAGTAGGCCGGTTAGAGCCAAATTGTTTTTTCAGTCTTGAAGAACAGAGATTTTACTTTCATTTAAGTATTTTTTGGGGGTACTTCACCATAGTCGATCTAGATAACATATTACCTTAAAGTTTTATTTTCCTGCGCTTCGTTTCATGTGGTGTCAATATATAAAAAGGCGGTAATAAATTAACTTAATATTACAAATTGTAGAATATTAGCAATTTAATTACTTTATTAGTATTTATCAACTGTTTATTATGTACTGATAAAAAGTTTTTATCTGAATAGAGATGGAAATACGCATTTTTGCAATGAATTGTTATTATTCGTCAAGTAAATGTATATAGTTTTGCCAATGCTGCTTTGGAAACAGTGCATTGCTCTCTTCTGTGTAATATGCTGCAAATCTTGTATCAGTCAAATGTATTCCTGTTTGTTTCATTTGTCAACGTAAGAAATCATTGCTGCTCCTGACTACTGAAATGAATGCAGATGTTCATCAAAGCGCTTGGTTTTTTAATTGGAATTTTCAAGTATTGGGTTACTAGCGCAGAAAATGCAATACTTCAATAATATGTAGCCGTTTCTTATAACGCGAAAAAGTATGTGCTGTTGTAGCACCATTTGTTCTAATTTCTGTAGGAGAATGTGATGATTGATTGTGTTGAAAGCTTTAACCAAGTCCAACAGAAGTGATATGCAAGGTGTACTATTATCAATTGCATTTTATATATGGTTTGTCACTTGTGATAGCAACTTCAGCACTTTCTTGAAAACCAAACTACATCACATTTATTACATTGTTTATGTTTAAGAAGCTGACAAATCTATTTCTCAACATCTTTTCAAATATTTTAGTAAAATTTGATAGGAGAGAATTTGGTGTGTAATTACTTGGAAATTTCCTATCTCCAACTTCAAAAAATAGTTGTATCAGATTTTTTTATGCGATCAGGTAAAATAAACAATTCTGAACATTCATTGAGCAGAAAAGCTAGTGTTTTTGTGATACAATACGTGATTGATATTTTATCAACTTGTGATTTATTTATTTTCATATTTTTTATTTTATCATATATTTCTAAATAATAGTAGGGCATACAAATAAACTATTTTGAATGATACTGGCTCATGAAATCTTGTTTAATTGAGTTATATCTTCAAGGTATTTTGACATCTTACTTCCCATGTTGTTAAGAAATGTATTTATTTCATTTGCAAAACTCTTATCACAATGTACACGAGTAATTTATTCTTACAGAGAGTATGTTCTCTGTATATCGCACCCCCAGAAGAAAAGTTCATATCACAAAAAAAGATGATTGTTCAGAAGAGTGCTTTAAAAGTTTTAAATTACATTATCAGATAATGTTTATGAAGTACGAACATCACCCGTATTTGTCCAAGTTAGGCTTAAAAAGAATGCAATACAAAAATGTTTTGCCGAGCCCTGGTAAGCAAAATGTGAATAAATCTGTTGCTAAATTTAGAAGAAGAAAAAAATCCTCTATCACATGGTGTAGTCAGAATCCCTGATTTGTGCGATGTTTGTACAGAAAAATCAATTGACAACAAAACTCGTCTGTGCACATAACGGTAGCGTATAAACCGTTCAGCTGATTTTCTCCAAAATTGATATTGCCCAATCGTTCTAGCTGTTTTAGCGGCTCCTGGGATTTGGAACCGATATTTTAATTTTTGAGGGGAAGAACTTAAAAGAAGCTTTCAAACTTTCTCAAAATTTAAAAAAAAGGCTCCAAATTTTTTGGTGAAATTTTGTTGTTGAATAGTGCAAAAGACATTTAAGAGAATGGTCGGTCTCATTTTCCTTGACATCCCAGATTTTTTGAAAATTGGGAAAAACAATTTTAAAACTTCAAAATTGAAGATCAGGATTTTTGTCTCAGTCTGTTGTACAAAATTGGCTTTTGAGAAAAGGGTCATGAACAATTTTTTGAAAAACGAGTCGTTTTACACAATTTGCTATTGAAATGTATGAATTTTTTCCCCCTCTTAAACTGTTCCAAATTTTTTCGCTAATGTAATTGAGAGTTTTGAAAATTTCACTCCCTCCCCCCAAAATTAAAACTACAAAATTGATGATAGTTTTTATATTCAAACTCTGTTGTATAAACTTTGCTTCTTAAAAAGTCATGTACGATTTTTTTTTTTTTAAAAAAATTGTAGTGTTTGCATAATTTCTGGCTGAAATTAATGAAATATGTACAGGTTTCACACAAGTACGGACCACATGAAAAATTGAATGAATGGTATGAAAAATTATTAATCTAATTTTAATTATAATTTCCTATAGTATTTCTTTGCAATCTGAAAAACTTAATAGCAATTTCTCAACAATGTTACATCAATATTTGAGAAGATAATTGTTATAGAACGCGAAGGTGTTAAAATACAGTTATTTTATTTAGTCTAGCTGGCGGTGTTGGTGTAACTCCTAGGCCGAAAGCCAGTACTTCCGTTTGCAATGAATTTTGCAGCTATTTTTTTTATAAATTACTCCTCAGAATACCCGGTGAGGTATGTAATATACACTATTTAATATACTCTGATTCCTAAAAATATTGGCTATTGAGTAAAAGATGAAGTATGAAGCTGTCGGAACTGTTATCTTACGACTCACGAGTGAGCAGTCAGAAGTTTCGTAATTATTTTGATGTAAAATGCATATATTGTAATTACTGTATTGATGTTATTAGCCAAGTGAATGTACATAGTTTTGACAATGCTTCTCTGGCAACAGTGCGTTGTTCGCTTCTTGGTTAAATTGAGATTTTTCAAATAAAAGTTGAGGTGCTAGTAGCACAGAAAAAACAATATTTCAATATTACATAGCCGTTTCCAATAATGGGAGAAAGTATGTGCTTTTTTTAGCACTTAGTTAACATTTATTAACATTTTTTAGTATTTCTACAACATTTGAGGGCCGAAAGTATGTGACCCTTGACCCAGGAAGCCCTGACTGTTTGAAGTATGCTTCCAGTATGAAGCAATTTTTAATTTTAAAGCAATGATTTTGTGTTCTGTGGGAATTTTTATTTGTGTCTGAGCAGTATGCATGCTACATTTGGAAAACCTTAATAGTGAGGTTTTGTTCAGCAGCATTTCTGCTGCTGCAGGCCAATAATTATAAATGTAATGGTTTCTTGAATTTTTTATTTTTCAATCAATTTTCTGAAGCTGTGTGGGGGTTATAAAAGACAATAAAGTTAAACCAGGGGCGGATGCAGAGACAAATTTTGGGAGGGGAATTTCAAAACTTGTCATATTTAAGCAAGTGTCATATTTAAGATTTTCGCAGGCTACACTCTGCTTGTATTGTGATACAATTTTATTCGTTTTAATGATTATCTGAAAATATTTTTCCTTCAATATCTTGTGACGAGTTAAAATAATAGTTACTCAAAAATTTTAGCAGGGGGGGGGGTGTCTCTTAATATCCTTGCGGATCCACACCTAGTTAAACAATGTAAAAAGTAGAACTTCATATTCTAAAAATAAACTTCACATTTACTTTTTTCACCACAGAAAACGCTTTAATAACAGTAGACACATTTGCACATTATACTTTGTTTTGTTCATTGTACTAGTATTAACTGAGTTGGGAAGTGAAAATTCAACAATATTTCTTCTTAGTCCTCATTTAGTGCAGAAATGGGAAAGCAAAATTTGTAGAAAAATTTAAAATGTGATTCCAGAAGAGTTACTATCATAATTAAGAGGTAAAACATGTATTTGTTGCATTGTTTAACAGTGATGTGTTAATTTTGAAATAAAACAATTTTTTTACCAAAATTGAAACATTAGTATTTAATAGGACAGAAACATTGTATTTAATAGAGGAACAATATAGGAGTAATTTTCCATTAATCAAATCTACCATCCTCTAAGTAAAGTAAGCTCTTTGTGGAATAACCTATAAAGAATCAGTTTGACTGAATAGCTAGGGTATAAATACCACTATAGGAATGTGAACTCTCTTAAACAGCTCTGGCAATGCAGCCTGCTCATTTAAGTTCCAATAATTTCGAGGTACGTGATAGAATTGTAATGTAAGCCTTTTGTCTAAATACTTTATGTACCTGAATATAAAACTAATATTTTATCCAGTTTTCTTTGTTTGAAAATATAAATTATTTTGGTGCCTTAAGACTAACGTCTGTTTTATTAAAATGCTAGATTCTACACGGTCTTGAGTACCAACCCCTCAAAAATGTAATTGAACATCTCTACAGATAACATTTTGTAGATTTTGTCATGATAAACATAACACATGGACTTCAGTCTTGAAAATAGTGTTAAAGACTTCAAGATGCACATTATTTCAATTATTCCATATTGATGTGCCGGGAAGCACCATACAGCAAGTTGTGTGTTGCAGTTGCATCAGCCCAATTCAAACTCCTTTTTTCAACTAATTCTTAATATTTACGCAGTGAAATCTAAGAATTTCATTTATTTAATAAATAAATAAATTTAAATGTAATAAATGCTTAGTAATTATGTTTTTTCTTCCATATAGATTTTGAAGAAAAGAAAGAACACGCTTCAAAGACTTTTAAGGCTCTTGTTGCAGCAATGGCATTCTACAAGTTACATATGAAGTGCTATATTGAATACAGCAAATCTAGTAGCACAACATTTTCCTTTTGCTTTTTTTATGATGAAGATAAACCTTCGAAGGAGCATAATTATTATGTAACTTTGGATTATTACCATGAACACTGGAAAGGTAAATTTTAAATCTAATAAATTATTGCAAATGGAATTACCTTGGATCTTGGTCTTTTTTGTTTAATTTTGCATATCTGTATTTTTTCAATAGTACTTGCAATGAAGCCGACAACATCTTGTGAAAAAATGATTGCCTCATATTTAGAAGAAACCGGAGACATTATTGGCTTTGTGTCTCATGTCCATAATGTGTATGCTGAAATGAGAAAGAAACATTAGTTGAGACAAAATTTTGGTTTTGCAGCAACACACAAAATAACTAAAATGAAAAATTGTATGGTAATAAAAATTCAGTGTACAGTGTAAATACAGTTGGTTTTGTAGATTATTGTATGAGAAGTATTAAAGAAATATGTAATAAAAATTCGAATTTTTGTATACAAAACATTTATTAAGCAACAGAGCATTGAAAAGTGTCCACTAAGGAAAGTCTCAAGAGCCTCATTATATGAAAATTAATGCTTCTAGAGATGCTCTATGTCAGACATTTCTACTTGATCTACACTACCTTTTCAAACTTTACCTAATATCCATTTAATCTTCAGAATATTTACTGGTAGTTAAATTGTTTACAATTCAAATGTCCTTTGTATTTTGCAAATTTTTGTGAAAGACAACGAGAAACATTTTAAAAAGTGCAGATAATATAAAGTGGTAATTTATCAGTGAAAATTTCCAAAGGTAATTTGGTAGGGCAGAAATTGTGTGAAAGTATTAAATGGCTCCTCATTTTTTTTTCTTATAAACTTGCTACAAGTAATTGATGTTGTAAACAATTTTTCTGAATTTTTGGAAAATGTTTTCAACTTTTTTTCAAAGAACAGTGTAAATATTTTATGCTGACAACTAAAATTTGCACATAAAAGTAGTAGTCAAAGGGGTTTCAGTTATCAAGTCTGCATTCTCTGCTGGCCATACGTACTGTAGGGACTGAGTGCACACCGCCAAACTACACAAGAAATTCGATGAATGTGATCCTAGGGCATATTCTACCCACACAGTTCTTAACCTAAGCTAAAGATCGGGAATACCAGATCGAAATTCATGGTTTTTATTTGGTACCATGGTAAACTTAATACCATTAAGTTTTTATTTTCTCGCTCTTAAGAACAAACTAAGAAAAAGTTACGTAATGCTACGCGAAAAAATGCGAATTTTCGGCAGAAAAACTTTTATTATATGGCTCTGGTGACGAAAAAACTCGTAAATCTAGATGCTAAATTTAGAGAAGAAATTCCTCTAGCACGTGGTATCGCCAGAATCCGGGTTCTTCATACCGATAAGTTGATTGACGGCAAAACGTTTTATCTGTCCGTCCGTCTGTGAACAACGCTAGCGCCTAAACTTATTTTCTCCAAAACTGATATTCCACGAATGATTAGGCTGATGTGTCCCCTTGAATTTCAAATTGATTTTTTTAATTTTAGGGGGTTATTTATTCGGAACCCTGAGACATTTTCAAAGAAATGGCGCCATCAATTGTGATTAAATTTTGTTGTTTGATAGCCTGAAGGACGTGTAAGAAAATTTCTCATATTGGTAAAAAGCTCTAATTTTTCAAAATTGAAAAGTTTCAAAATTTCTCGGCGTCTTACAACTAAAATATTCGAGAGATCTTTTTCTCATAAAATATTTTCTTTGAAGATAATTTTGAAATTAAGTCATTAACTTTTTTTTAATTGAGTATTTTTCGCATACTTTGGTGTGCTTTAACCAAATGTCTCATGTTGGTTAAAAGCTCTGATTTTTCGAAAATTGAAAAAATTCAAAATATTTTCGGCGTCTTACAACTAAAATGTTCAAGAGATTTTTTCTCAAAATATTTTCTTTGAAGATAATTTTCAAATTAAGTCATTAACTTTTAGTACTTTAAAGTATTTTTCGCGTACTTTTGTGTGAAATAAAGAAAATTTTGGTTTCAACAAGTTTTTCTTAAAATCGGCTCCATCGTTTTTGGTGAAATTTTGTTGTCGGATAGTCTGAAGGATGTTTAAGAAAATGGTGTAGGTCTTACGTTGGTTAAAACCCCGGATTTTTCGAAAATTGAAAGAATTACAATTGTTTTCGGCGTCATTCATCAACTACAATTACGAAGATACAATCATTTTTCCTAATGAAATATGTTTAAAACAGATTTTCAAATGTGGTTATGTTGGATTTTCCGAAAATCGTAGTGTTATTGGAGTAATTGGTTGTCAATATTAGTCACCTGCTCTGAAAATCCTGCACTTAAGTGTTTTGAGAGAGTTAGATGCTGCGTAAGTTAAGATGTGCATATTATTTCTTATTTAATATTTATTCGTTTTTTATGCTGGAGCTTTTGTTATAAGTTTAGAATTCATCTTTTAGAAATTATTTAAAACCTATCAGAAGTATGAATTAAAGATTGCTAGCCTTCAGTCGCCCGCTCCCAATTTACGGGGTTGCATACTAAGTTACAATTTGTAAATTTATATTTAATTTTATTATTATTTATATTATTTTATTTTAAATTGCATCCTCATTTTAAATTGTGTAAAATGTGAAGACGAATAGATGAAAGGTCATTGTTGGTTGTTACCCAGTTGTATTCTCTAATACCAGAAGCTGATAATGACGGCTGCTCTTCGTTTGCGGTAATGAAAAAAATGCTGAACTTTCATCAGGCACTGGTGAAACAAGCCATTCTACTATCTTATAGCGTATATAGTAATTTGATCGGTCTTTTGTTTTTGCCAACTGCTCATCCCATTAAGGGCAAGGGCCTCCTGCTCGCGCAGGGAAATATTAATAATTCTTTAATGATGTAATAATATGATGAAGGCTGAAGGAACGATCTCAAATATATCCATGCCCGAGGCGGGATTCGAACCCGCGATCCTTCAATCCGAGATCGCCACGACACTACTGCCTTACAGATCTCGGTTATCAGTATCGACCTGCTTTCTTGACAATCTGGATCGATTTTCTTAGTATATACTGATTAGGGAGAAAAAGAGGGAATATTCACAATTTTATATCGAAATTCTCGCAAAAGTCATGATGCTGTCCTTTTTTTACCTCTATCAAAAAACAGATTAGTAACCCACAAGATTACAGATCTTGCATAACATCTATCCGGATCTGGTCCAGAGGCCTCCAAAGAATTGAACAATTCAATTAAAAAAAAAGTGACTCTGATAACAAGAAATTGTACAAATTTTGGACAAAAATTGTACAATTTCGGGTTATCAGAGTGGTGGTAATTTCTGGTGAATTCTAGAAAATTTGTAGGAAATTTTTCCAAATCTACGACCGCTATTAACGTAATAATGATGCAAAAAATTTACATAAAATTTATGCAAATTTTGAAACATTTTAAAGAAAACGTTTTATGTAAACAATTACGTTATATACAAAGATAAAATATTCCATTATTTTTAGGTAAATTGAAGTTTTAATTGATTTTTGTTTCCAAAAAAGTATTTTGTAACTGAATTATGTAAAATTTGCATTGCACAAAAATGTGTTCAATGATTACCCAACATATGTACACAAATTTTACACGAGAAATCGTAGAACAATTGTGAAAATAATGTAAATTTCATACCAATATTCTACAAATATTTGCACAATTTGTGCATACATTTCGCATCGTCATAGTTATCAAAGAATATATTTTTAATTGTTTATATTGTTCGCTTATTCATTTATCAAATTTTAGGTGTGAGACATGAATAAATATTATAGAAAATGTGTGAACAATTGTAAACAACATTTTTGACCTAACATATACGACTAATTATGCAATGCTCATAAACTCAAACACTGTGTTCGACTTTCCATAAACAACTTTACATGTTCTGTTACATGGGAAAATAAAGACGTATGCATCACCTATGATAATATTTAAATAGTAAATAATAAGAAAGCGCAGAAAAGGCACTAAATTTACGCTAATACAAAAGTAAGCTACAATATTACAAAATTAGTGTTATACTAATATGAATAGTAAACTATTTATAATTTTTATTTGAATTGTCATTTATTGAAAAGTTACTATTTTATAATAATAAATTAAGTGGGCAGGGGTGTTTGTGAAATATTCATGAGGTAAGTAATCCGTGACAGCTGAACTGCTGAAATAGACTACCTGCGTGCTAAGGCTAAATACAACTGTTCGCTGGTTATACAATACCAGCGTAAGTACGCATCGCCACATCGCCAGACACGTGACACTGTGTGAGACCACACCGTGATCTAAAACATACTCTCTGGTCTAGACCGACTCAACGCTACACAAGTGCAAAAACAAATTGCCAACTAAAAAATACTAATTTTCGTAAATTATGTAAATGCGGGTTTTGTAGTCATCAGCATGATTTGTTGCGGATTGAACGCCGAAAATAGGGTAATGCAGAAATTCAGAAATGCGGTACCTCTGGCAACACTGCTGCCGCTTGCCACCCAGAGGCGACGGTGCTGCCCTCCGAACATGTAAAAGTTACGTTTTCTGGACATCGCAATTGAACCGACTCGTTTGCGAACGACGCCACCGAAACTTCTCTGAACCGAATGCTCTCTGAACGACATACCCTACTTATCAACAAACAATCAACATTATCCGAGGCGGCAAGAGAGGCTTGTTTGTGTTTATTGTATAATATGTATGGTAGTTTTTCTGAAAGTTAGGTGAAAACTTATTCGTATTTGACCGTGGCAACGTATTACTAATATCACCTATAATTTAAGTACTAAATCATTATTTGAAAATTGAATATAAATGTAGATTCAATTGCACTGCAATGGAAATTAGGTTATTTATCCTAAATAAAGAAATACAATATTGTAAAACCTGTTATCCCTTATTGATGCCTCAATAATTTTTGTTAATTTCTGTTAATATACTTTAATATATTTTATTTCATATTGAGGTATGAAAGGTTTAAAATAGGTTAGGAGTAGTGAGAGAATTGTTCATGTCCACCCAGTTGTTACTATCCTACTTCGAACATGTTTTCCATCTGCAAGCAATCACACCCAGCCACAGCTGTAGAACATGCCTTGACGTGTCATTTTTTCAACCATTCTGAAAAATCGCTAGTTGTTGCTGGTGCAAACATTATACGAGTTTTTAGGCTCATACCCGATGTGGATCCTACAAAGAAAGAAAAATTTTCAGGTAATAAGCAGCCAATGTTTGAATCATTTAGTATTTTGACCGATCCGCCAGAAAATATTTCAGTGAAAATAATTTAAAAAGTTGTTTAATTCCATCCTTTTTTCATCAGAGAGCCGCCCGCCAAAAATGAAATTGGAATGTTTGGCTACATACACATTATTTGGGAATGTTATGTCAATGCAAGCAGTTAGTTTAGCAGGATCTGTGCGAGATTCTTTATTACTTAGTTTTCGAGATGCCAAACTTAGTGTTGTTGAATACGATCCTGAAGCACATGATCTTCGGACTCTATCTTTGCATTATTTTGAAGAAGAGGATATGCGTGTAAGTTACTTATTTCAAACTTATTTTCATGACATCTTTATTAGATTAATAGCAGAAAACGTTGAGTATTATTTCTCACTCTTCAATTTTCCCCAGGGTGGTTGGACTCATCACTATCATATTCCTGTGGTGAGAGTGGATCCTGAAGGTCGTTGTGCTGTTATGCTGGTATACGGAAGGAAGTTGGTAGTTCTACCTTTTCGCAGAGAAATAGCAATTGATGATCCTGATCTTGCCTTGGGGGATGTGAAACCAGGAAATATCAATGCAAATAGCCGAGCACCTGTTTTAGCTTCATATATGATTGTTTTGAAGGAGTTAGATGAAAAGATGGATAATGTTATTGATGTGCAATTTTTGCATGGTTACTATGAACCCACATTACTTATTCTTTATGAACCTGTAAGAACATTTCCTGGGTAAGTGTTAATCAGCTTTTAATACTGATTTGAGTTCACAAATCTTTTTTTACAAATTATCCTTTTTTGATTTTAGGCGAATTGCTGTTCGTCAAGATACATGCTCTATGGTTGCAATATCTCTTAATATTCAGCAAAAAGTTCATCCAATAATTTGGTCTGTGTCCAATTTGCCTTTTGATTGTCAGCAGGCCATTCCTGTTAGAAAACCTTTAGGTGGAACACTTATTGTTTCCATTAATGCTTTGATATACTTGAATCAAAGTGTGCCTCCATTTGGAGTATCAGTTAATAGTGTTGCTGATGTCAGCACTAATTTTCCACTTAGTATGTATTAATTTCTTATTTGATAATAAAATTTTCACATTTACATTCCGTATTAAATAATATATCCCTAATTATATTATTTGCAGAAGTACAAGATGGTGTGAAACTTACTTTAGAAGGAGCTCAAGCATCTTTCATATCGTATGATCGTTTGGTAATTTCATTGAAGGGAGGAGAGTTGTATGTACTGACATTGTATGCTGACAGCATGCGAAGCGTTCGTAGTTTTCATTTTGAGAAAGCTGCTGCAAGTGTATTAACTACCTGTGTGAGTAAAACTTAATTTTTAATATTTTAATTTTTTCATGTAAACATAGTAAGCAGAGAAAGTTTGCTAATGGTAAAAAAATTGTAATTTGATATTTGGGAAACTTGAAATTGTTTTCTGAATTTATCTTTAATTCATCTACTCAAAGATTTCAAAACACTATGAGTTTCTTTAAAAATTTGTATTTGATATGAATTTTGGATTATTCTCTGTTGCTTTATAAGAGCAAAAGTTCAAATTTGGGAGTAATGTTGCTTCAAATCAATTTCATTTTCAAAAGTTTTCCTAAGTTGACTATATTTTATTATTGAAGTAAATACAAATATTTCAACAAATTTTAAGAATGAAATATTCATAACGTGAAGTACATTATTTAGGTTTCGTAATTTGCGGGTTTAAGTTTCATTTGAAACTAAATGTAAGACATGTGATTTGGGACACTTTAACTATCCATTGTGGGAAAGGAGAGAGAAATGGAAAACAGAATTAAGGAGGAAAATAAATAAACATAACATTTCTAAAGTGTCTGTTTATTAAAGTGGTTGCTTTTGTTGAGTACATATTAACCCTTTTGCGGGCAACCAGTTTTAATCGCGCAACCAGTCCAGCAGACCCAGAAGTGTGTGTTATGGAATTATTCTTACAGGTGTAAGTTTGTGGTATGGATAATGAAACTGTACTCTCTGATATAATTGTTTAAAATAACATAACTTTTGAAAATACTCTATATTTGTTTATTAAACAGTTATTCTCTTATTACACATCGCACACACTGTTACCTTAGCTACGGTCATTACAGACAGGTTTTCAAAAGCTGTTACATCTCATTGTTTTCTATTTCTTTCCCAAGGGCACAAATGACATCTTTTTTGGCTCTTCTTATTAATTATCTGAGTTTTAGAAGCTTCTTCTTCCCCAAAAACGTGTGTGATTCACAGGTGTTATTCAGTTACGTTTGACTGTCTTTGTACATGTTGAAGAGGAAGACAAAATTTTGAAATCAAACCAAATTCTTTGTATTATCAGTATTAAAAAAATGTATGGTCTTACGTTTTCTAACATTCAGTCAAGGTCAGCAACATTCCTATCACTGTGCAGTTTTCCTGTAAAACCTGGACTGCACACGACTTCAAAAACTCTCTCTCTTGTCTCGCCTACATACTAACCTTCAGCAACACTGTCTCCAAAGACATCAGTCTTAGAATCGCTCACACGAAGTGTCAGATAACTTCCTGATTAAAAGATGTTGGGTATCCTGCAAGTGGCCATCCCTTGGGCACGAAGCAGTTGTCAAGTAATTGACCAAACAAAACCAAAAAATGCAATATTTCACACAGGTTAAGAGACCTGGGTTCAATGACCCCCACTTGCCCGGTTGCGGCTGAAAAGAGAAGATGATTTGTTGATTTATTATTCAGTAACGTTTTCGTAAAATGGTTGTGGGAAAATTTAAAAACACTATAAAGAACAAAGTCACAAAAACTATTCTGACACCTTGGATATTTTTCACATAATATATTACACATTTTGCAGCGGGGTCCAAGGGGCCCCGGTTTCTTAGATAAGTATACAGACATTAATATGTGCAATTTACAAACATAGCACTATAGAAGAATTGAAGAATAACTTATAACAAAAATAAAATGTGGAAGAAAAATATTTGACATATTACATTGTGATTAAATATATAAACAAATATGTATTACAAGTATATAATTATTTACGTATATTGAAGAACTGATGATCTCAAACATGTTATCAACTCACTCATACAAAGATCTAAAATATCTAGATTTTGATTATTTAAATTTTATAAGTTCTAAAGAAAAGTTATTTGATGTATAAATTTTAGAATAATTTTGCAAAAAAAATGGTTCAATATGTCTAGTAAACCTGTGAGGGACACGAAACAATATTTTACTAAGTAATAGTGGGCAATCTGTGGTATCATGGAATTATTTATATTGGAAAAAAAATATCATTATACGTCCTACATGATTTAAGAGTTGGAATACTCAACATTTGCGAGATTCTTGCGTAATTATGATTAAAAATCAGAATAGTACAGCCAAGTCTTGGGGAGAGAAATCGAAAAAATCTATGCTGTACTCTTTCAAGCCTACTGATGTGAAAATCAAAATTCAGCGACCAAGCCACAGAAGCAAAAAGGAGGCGAGATCTTATTAAGTTCTCAAGGCTGCAGTACTTCGGATCACCCCATACGTTCTCTTGATCAGTCCAAGTTGTTGTAGAGATTTATTTACAATCATATCAATGTGCATATTAAAATTCATATTTTAGACATACATGGCACCAAGAACTCCTTCAAGGTATATATCAGTAATTTTGTAAGAACTGACAATGCTTCCACCTCCAGAGAAAGTTATGAATTTGCATTTTTTGGGATTGAAATATAATTCTTTGATAAACATTATTTATAGATAGCTGATATAACATTTTGTTGATCTTTAATATCTTTGGTGGATAAAGTACTTTTAAATAGTTTTAAATCATCAGCAAATATAAGAAGTTCAACACTCCCCAGAAGTGAGCAAATATCATTGATAAATACAACAAATAATAAAGAAACTAAATGTGAACCTTGGAGTACCCCGATGCAGTAATTTCATTGGAGATGAGACCTGTGTATTTGATATATTGGTCTCTTATGCAAGTAATCAGTGTTCCATTTAAGAAGCATTCCAGATATATCAAAACATTAAAGTTTTAAAATTAACAACTTGTGGTTTACAGAATCGAACGTTCTGCGAAATTCAGTATAGAGAATTCAGGTTATTCATTTCCAGAAAATTAAGAAAGTTTCGGCTGTAAAGAACTAAGTTACTTTCAATATTACGTCCTGGCATAAATCCAAGTTGATTGGCTGATATAAATGGAGTAATTTTTGATTTTAATTTATCTGTAACTATCGATTCAAATAGTTATGAAACTAAGAATGGAGATTGGTCTATAATTGGATATTTCATGTTTAGAGCCAGATTTTTGTAGCGGTATGATGTATGTAGAGTTCCATTTTGATAGAAATATACCCTCGTTTAGCGATTTTACAAATAAAACTTCAAAAAAGAGAAGATGAAATTACATTTACCTAAAATAATTGGAGGTATTCCATTAAGACCTGTGCCCTTATTGGTGTCGAATTTATTACTATTTTGAAAAATATCATTTACAGTTATATCTAATGAAGCTATATTGTATGGTCAGCAAAGTTGATATAGCAAAATTTAGTCTATTTGATGTTATATAGAATGACTGAAAATGTTTAGCAAAGACATTAATAGATAAATCTTCTAATGTAACTTCTTCAAATAGCTTGGCATTGGTAGCTCTCTCACTGATCTTTTTGAGTTATAATATCTCCAAACATTTTTAGGATTGTTTTCAAGGAAGTTACTTAGATAAGCACATGTAATATCATAAGTATCTCTTGGAAAGTGACTTACATTTACTCCTGAGATTAGAAAACAATGAGAGTGTTGCCATATCATATATCTCAGATTATTAAATTTATTAAACACGTTAAAATATATCAAGAACTTGGCAAAAATTATCTTTAAGTTCCCTTTGTAAACAAATTCTTTTCAGACATGTATTTGTGAAGAGAACTACCTGTTTTTGGGCTCTCGCCTGGGGAATTCACTTCTCCTTCGTTTCACTGAAAAAGAACAGTCTACAGTGTTGACTTTGGAGGAGAAATCTTATGCTCCAAAAGTTGTAGAAAATCCAACCAAAAAGAAAAGATTAGATACTTTAGGTATGTATAATTATAATTGTTTCATTTTTAATCGGTTTGTTGACGAGGAAAATCCTTTACAAGAATCTCTTGTTTGCTAGGAGATTGGATGGCTTCTGATGTTGCTGATATTCGAGACTTAGATGAACTGGAAGTGTATGGAAGCGAAACTCAGACTTCGGTTCAAATTGCATCATATGTATTTGAGGTAAGATTGATCTTGTTATACATTTTTGCCACTGGAAAAAAAAAAAAATAATAGAATAGTCACTCTTTTTAAAAGTTATTATTGCGTAATTAATTGCATTTTCTTAGTGAAGTTAATTATACTGGTCAACAGGCTTTTGGTTCCTTGAAACAGAGAACTTGGTCTAGAAGCTTTTTTTCTGTTGAATCCAGATCTGTTATCAATTTTAAGATGCTTTCTAAAACTCAACTATTTCTTCCATCTGTTCATGAAGTGTATAACTCCCTGTTTTCCCACTATCAGTAAGTTATCATTTAGCACATGGAAACAATCTCTGTAACCATGGAACAGTAGAAACAACTCTGTAACCATCTTGCCTCAATGATGGTAGGTCTTCTATTTTTCTTGAAAAGTAAATTGTATATTTGTGCTTTACAGTCAGTGTCTTTTGGTTGTGTTCACAGTGGATATTTCACCTGAGTTTTACTGTAAGGTGTGTATTTCTTGAATAGACAGTAAAAACAAATAGGTGAAGAGACGTAGATATAGAGATAACTACAGAATGGCACAGTCTTTCTCATATTAGTTTTCTATTTTCTTTGGTCTGGGCTAACTATTCACCCCATACTCTTGCCAGTCGCCATCTATCACCATCCAAAGTACATTTTTTATTTTTCAGTTTTCTAATAATAGGAACAAAATATTACTTTAAGAATATTAAAAGAGAGTAAAACCTTGTCATAATTGGCATTTTCATTGAAACATTCAGAGCTCTTTTTAAGGAAATAGTGTAAATGTAAAATTTAAAACTCACTTCCTTAGAAACTTTTTGTTTTTAAATTTCATTTCAAGTCATTTAAAGCACGTTAACTCATAAATGCAATTGTGGTTACAACTCGCTGGAAATGTTAATATTAATAGTGTGAGATATTTAAAAAAATTACAATTTTGTAATTTTTGAACAAATAAAAGATTATGCTCAATTGAACTTTAAATTTGTCGTATGAAACAGTGCAATTAGCACTATCTGTATGAAAAGTTTGACGAAAAAATTTGAAGCTGTTTTTGAAAATATGGTGTTTAGCGTTTCTGAAAATGCGGAATTTTGAGCTCCTTTTCACAGAAAAATGTAGTTTTTCAGAAAATTCTTATGAAATTGTGTAAGGCACATGTACTTATAAATGCAATAATGTGAACAAATCACCACCAATGTAAATGACAAGAGAAACAAGTTAAAAAAAAAAAAAATACATATTTGAAAAACGAAACGAGCGAAATGGCATTTGTGTCATCCTATTGAGTACATTCAGCACTATCCCTATCAAAAGTTTAAGGAAAAAAATTGAAGCTGTTTTTGAGAAAATCTTGTTTTTGTTATTTTTTAATATTGCACATATTGCATGCAATATTACGTAAAAACTAATAAATTTTTCAAAGAAATGTGCATGACCTTAATGAAAGAACTAAATATCGAGAAAATATTTAACTTGAGGTAAAAATATGGATCTTTTGTTTTTTAGTTGTAGATGTACAAAAATATTCAAACTTTAAAATTTTCAAAATTTCAGAGTCAACAGTGAAAAACAGACCTATGCCATTTTTATAAGGGTATTTTAATCTTTTCTTTTAAATAATGTAAAGAAAAAGTCTGGAGCCACTTTTGAGAAAATTTTGAAAATGTCCCAAGGGTTTGTGTAAAGTACCCCAAAGTTTTAAAGACTTTTTCTTTCAAAATCGCAGTGCTCAGAGATCGACCAAAAAATATTTATTTTGGAAGAAGTCCTATGTATGGTTTAGGTGCTAGTGGTGTTCACAGACCGCCAACAGATGGACAAATGGAGGGATATTTTGAAAAAAACACTTTTTTTAGTATCAAGGAACTCCAAAACATGTATTTCTATTGAAATCTTGAAATTGATTTTCCACTGCATTTCATAGCTTTCTTTCTTCTACATATATTATTCTGTGTATATGTATGTTTACAAGAAATTAAAACTCACATAAATGTGTGTCAGACAATTTCAAGTACATATCTGGAGAGTTCACTGCAAAGCATCAGAGAAGACGCGCTCTTGTAAAAACAACATACCACCTGTATTTTGGGTGCAGTGCTTTCAATCTGGGCAAGAAATGGTCACCTCATATTTGTTGCATATCTTGCATGCAAATTCTTTCAGTAGCTAAAAGCAGTGGCATAAGGGCACGCAAAGTTAAGTTAGGGCACCCAAAGCTCGCAGTGTGGGCAGGCTCAAGGAAAAAAAGGCCTTTAAGGGGATGTTTTTATAATTTAAGGTACTAACAAGACTTGTGTTTGCTGCACACAAAGGGGGCCTGGATAAAAGTCTTGCGGGAGGGGTCACACTTATTTTGTTATGCTACTGAGTAAAAGATTCTCATATATGCCTTTTGCTGTACCAGTGATTTGGAGAAAGCAACAGAATCACTTACTGACTGCTATTTTTGTGTCACTAAATAGGGGGTTTGCTGCAAAGAGCAAGAAAGTAATTATATATCCCAATTTTTACTTTCAGCAATACAAATTACTTATGGTTCAGATCTTTCTAAACCTATTCATGTAGGAGCATGTGTTTTAGAAAATGGAGAAGAAGACGGCAAAGACGAAGTACATTGAAAAGATGACAGTGATTTCTATGTTTCTAATGTCAGCAAACCCAATATGGTTTCTCAAGAGGAATTATGTAATCTGGTTAGAGACCTACATCTATCGTAGGCACAAGCTGAGCTGCTTGGATCACGATTACAGCAATGTAATTTACTGACCAAGAATGCAAGAGTTATCATTTTTCAACATCTTAAGGACAAATATATTCAGTATTTTCAATGAAAGAAAACCTCACATACTGGAATAACATAAACAGCTGCAATAACACGAAATGCAAACCTTTGGATTAATGTACCATGCAAATGAATGGTACATTAATCGCTCCTCATAGGTACACCAAAAGTGACGTAGAAACTACGTAATACCACATAATGGTAACACTCATTCTGTGCATCTAAAGGAGTATTATGAAACCATGAAATTCCTATTAAATAGTAACAATTACTATTCTTTCATGTGGAAAATATGTTGGGACCTACAAGTGATTGCTATTCGTTTGGAAAGGCAGCTGAATTACACAAATTACTACTGTTTTTATGTGAATGGGACAGTCGAGCCAGAACCAAACATCACTTGTCTGTGACTTGCCTGTAAAACTTCTGGAAGCAGGGCACAAAAATGTGTTCAGTAAAAATCTTGTTGAATCTTGCAATATTTACCTTCCACCATTGCACATGAAGAAGGGCTAATGAACTTTGTCAAGGGCATGGACAAATAAGGTAGAGTGCTCCAAAAACTAAAAAATAAGTTTCCAAATCTTAGTGAGACAAAAATGAAAGTGGGTATTTTTGTTAATAGCAAGTTATTGTTTGTTAGCAGTGAGGGAAACATCCTCATCAAACAAACAGAAGGAGACCAAAAGATCCTTGCTATAAGGTAATTCAATAATATGTACTTTAATGTTACTGTGATTCACCAAAGTGGATAAACCATACAGTTGTTAATTTCCTCAAAACTATAAATGATGGAAATAATTGAAGATGAGAAGATTCAGCAGTCCATTTTCAGTAAGAATAATGTACTTTCATCCAGGAGGGAGAGGGAAAAGAAAAGAAAAGAAATGAAAAGAAAAAAATAAAATAAAAAATTGTCCATTTTTTTAATTACTGTAAAAAGGGTCAATGATTCTTGGCAGACTAGTAACAAAAATACTTTATTAAAAGTATTTTGATGAAGCAAAATAGATTGCATGGTATATATTTAAATATGGGAACAGGAACTATAAAAGTAGTGAAGCCAAGCTTAGTTGACTGAAATGATAGCTAATAATGTCAGCTAGTCTCTGAGAGTTGGCAACAGCCCTTATTCATTCATTATTAGTTTCAATAGTATTTAAAAGTTCTGTTGCACATAATTTGTTACTGTATTGAGTGTTGAAGGGTTTCATTTATTTGTTATTTAGAAAATTGAATTAAAATTATCTTTTGTGTGTACACTTTCAATAACTTAAATAAATGTTTTCTGAATATGATTAAAAAGAATTGAAACTTTTTGTGTGCTTTAATATAATTATTGTAGAATTCTTATGTATTTCCGTATTTTCCTGTTGGAAAAAACAAAAAATAATTAATGGGAATGTGCACCCTACTAAAAACTTTTCTCCTCTTTGTGAGGCACACAACTACCTACTCATATTTAACAAAAAAATGCATGATGACATTTAAAGATATGACATTGGAGGATTAATTGCATTGAGAAAGAAATGGTGGGTAGTGTGTAGGACAGATTTGAAAATAAATTTTAACTTGCAATTTTCAAAGTTTCAGAGGTTTTAATAAAAATTGGAATTACACATATTTATACATGCACTTTCTTCTGTCCAAGCAAACAATTATAGCTCTCCCTCCCCTCATTCTTCTATTAAAAGATCTTAATTATCTCTGGGACTGCAGAACTGATGTATTTTCAAGTTTCAAGCAAAAGCTTCTAGTCTGATGGAGTTATATGTGATGCATATGCCCATAAATACGTACAGACATAGATGTCCTGATTTTTGGATACATTGTGTACATCTTCTTGCCATCTGTACTGATCTTTGGAACAGTACTAATAGACCTTAATCCTGATGCGTGTGCAAACTTATACCTGAAAAGAACCTTATATATGGATTTTATGACTGAAAATTTGGGAATGTATTATTGAGGTGATTTCAATAGTGTTTCTATTTTTACTGTAGTATAAGGTGATAAAAAAGACTTAAAATAAAACATACAGTGAACCATTTGATTTTCAAAGTTTGTTTTTTGATCTTCTATGTACTTTGTTTGACCTTATAGTCGAATATGAATCAAAGCTATTATGAGCTTGATATATTATTTTATAAACTGGAAAAAATTTTAATTAAATATTAAGGAGCCAATATTTTCATTTAGTAATGACAGTTGCACTTATATTTTCAGCAGAGTTCCCTGTTTATTAATTTTTAATTCTAAAGTTTCTCTTTCGCATTTTCAGATATTCACATACAAGAACATCTGTACATACACACTCATTCTAGCAGTTATAAGTATATAAAAAGTTTAATTAATGTGCAATTATTTTTTTTTATTATGTAGCATACTTGGAAGCATGTTACCTCTTATGTGACCTTCAAAAGAATTCAACACCAACAAGATTCCTCACCTGTACGTCAATAAATATGTTGAGTCTTTTTTTTTTATCAAAGCTTCTTTTTAAATGTAGGTATGTGATAGTCTCCTTAATATTGGTCCCTGTGGCAATATTTCAATGGGAGAGCCAGCCTTCTTATCTGAAGAATTTTCCAACATGCAAGATCCTGATATTGAATTATTCACTACATCAGGGTATGGGAAAAATGGTGCGCTTTGTGTTCTTCAAAGATCTTTGAGACCTCAGGTAATATCAAAGTATGAGTTTGAAGTATATTAGTGTTTGAATTTCATGGTTAATTGTTGATTATAACATTCCGACAGGTGGTAACTACTTTTGAATTACCTGGATGTGTTGATATGTGGACTGTGATTGGAAATAAAGAAGTAAATGATGATCCTGAAAAGAGTGAAGATCAGATGCATGCCTTTATGATTCTTAGCCAAGAAGAGTCAACAATGGTATTGTTTTTTATTATTTTGTTGTCTATTTGAGGAATGTAATAATATTTTAAAATTAATTAATTTGATGGTGCTTGCAGATACTACAAACAGGGTTGGAAATAAATGAAGTTGACAACTCTGGTTTCAGTACGCAAGGTCCTACAGTCTATGCTGGCAATTTAGGATACAATAAGTTTATTATTCAAGTAAGTATTATGAGAAGGGAAAAGTTGAGTTTGTTCCGTTAACAAGCTGGTTTCTTGACTCTGATCCTCACATCTTACTTTATAAACCTAAAATTAGTTAATCAATTATTTATTTTCTAACTTGTGGTTTATTGTTAGCTTATTGCAATTTGTTTTATATTTCCAGGTCTCTCAAATGGGGGTTCGTCTCTTACAAGGATTGGAACAAATTCAGCATATCCCTCTAGATTTAGGGTCACCTATTGTTCATGCATCTGCAGCAGATCCTCATGTAGTAATTCTCAGTGAGGATGGCCAAGTTATTCTTCTTACATTGCGAGAGACTCGTGGGCAAGGCCGGCTAAGCGTGATGAAACCTTTGCTCTCATTGGTAAGATTTGTTTTGTGTGTGAAAAACAAATGTATTTTCAAAGTATTCTTGGGAATTTTTTGTGTAAGTCTTCCATTGCTAACACCTGGATTTGGTGCCTGACGACTTGCATCAATTGATTTTCTATAAACTATTTATAAAAAATAGGGTGTGTTCAGATTGATTTTCAGACTACTGTGTCTGAAATGTATTTACCTTCCAACATTTATATGAAATAAACAAAATAATTGTTCAGTTTTAATTGAAAATCTCAATATTTTTGAGATTTTCAGTTAAGTCCAACCAGTGAAGATAAGCAAGTAGAACTTCAGTCTTGTGTTGCTGAGTTACTACATAAAACAGAGCTTTGAAATTTGTTAAAAATGTCCTCTAGAATAAATATGTATAGTCATTGAAATGGCTCTGATAGTAATAAAGATCATTTGATTGTATTTTAAAGTGATCATGAGGAGGCAGGTTTAGTCCCTTAAACTTAAAATACAGTATTAGAAAAAATAATTCTTAAATGTTTGCATATTTTAAAGCAATCTTGAGTGAAAAATGAGAGGAGTCAAGTATTGAATTTAGATAGTAGTTCAAATGTATGAATTGCTTATAAAACAATCTCAAAAGACTAGAAAAATAATTTTAATTATTTTTGTAAGATGGTTTGATTACATATTTTTTATGAACAGACCTTGAGTAAATTGTATAAATCACATTAGTTAAAGTCAGATGATCTTTATTTTACTTTGTGAATGATTTCCTGGTATTGGCATTGTCTTCCTCATTTGTACCATTCTTTTTATCATAGAAACCACCAATAATAACATTGTGTGCATTTCGAGATGTAAGTGGCCTCTTCTCCACAAGTTTACCAGAAGAAGAAGAAGATCAAGGGGTAAAGAAAGAAGTGAAGACAGAAGAAGCTGTCAAAAAGTATGATTATTCTGATAGTTTTGATGATTTTTTCATGTTCAAAGAAAAGGAGGGATTTTTTGTATTACTTAAGACTTTTCTTAAGATATCTGAAAAATGTGATGACACCATGCCAAAAAGCTTTTTTTTCTTGCTTCTATTAGGTGTACAAAAGACTTCTTCCTATGAAGATGGTACTTTCTTTTGATAATCATGAAGAGTGGGGATGAAAAAAATGATTGCTAATAGCTATGTAATATTATACTATGACAATTTCTCTTAATTTTTCAATTACCATATGAAAAATTTTTAAACAAGCAATGTGTGGAAAATACATATATTTTTTAAAATTCAAACGTTTAAACAAAAACAGCTTTCTGCCATTGAATTCAATGTATCCATGTTGTATATTAATGTATGATGCGTATTTTAGTAAACAACTGTGGCCATTATTATCTCCTTCTATTGTCAGTAAGGCATTACAACGTTTTGCAAAATGCAACAATGTACGTTAATCATCAACATTCGTATCATCAACATTTGTATAGGATACAACATTTCCCAAATTGGCATAGTTGATACTCCTGGCAAGAAAATGAAAATGGATACAAAAATATCATTATTAAATATAATATTGTCATATTCATTAAAACTCCTCTGTTTTCATGTGAATTTCTCTGCATTCACTCATCTTATTATGCAAAGAAAAATCTTTTGTTTTCACGTTTAACTCAATTGAAGACCACAAAATAAAATAGGTTTCAAATAATTTAAAAAAATTTTAATTTGTACATATATAACAAAAGCTTGAATGTAAGTAACGAACAAAGAAATACGAAATAATATATAAATTCTAACTTACGAAGCATCCTACTAGAATTATGCTCGAGAAGTGCAGTCAATTCAAAGCGGCCTATATTTGTCACGAAATTACTCAAAAATGTAATCATATTTTCAAAAAATTCAACATGACCTTATTTGAAGATGTTTTTATGAACACATTTCATGGAGAAGAAAAAATGTATTTCCACAATTGTAATTGTAGGAAGATGCTGAAAGATTTTTAATTTTTTAAAATGTATGCGGAATCAGGAATTCCAACAAACACGAGTCCTGCACCAGTTTTTTAAGCATCCTTCATGCTATCTAAGGTCCCAATTTAATAAAAAAATGTGGTGTGCGGTTTTTAAGAAAAAATTATTTAAAGAAAATAAAAATTGCCCATGTTTGACACGTCTTGTGTTTTTGTAATGTCTCTGAAAAATGTTTTTGAAATGTTTTTGAAACATTACACATGCCTATCTGTTTTTGATGATCACATTTCATGAAGAACAGACAGTTGATAGTATTGAGAATTGAGAAAAATAAATTCATTGTAAAGAATTATTATGTGCGAAACATAAATGAATCAAAATCACTTTTCTTGTTTCTGAATCTGCAAAGTAGCACGTTCTGTAATGGATGATTTGGATTTGAATGACAAAATGGATCTGCTGAATGATGTAGAAGATTTGATAGTGAAATAAATAAATAATTTGATCCCACAAAGTAAAAAAAAAAGAAAGAGTTATATAGCATACCAGAACTTCTGCTACTGGAGAAAAGTGAAAATTTGGAAGGTATCATTAGTGAGAACATTTTGCATAGACATCCTTTCCCTTCCTCACCTTAATCTTTTGCTGTGTGTATTTTATTATTAAGTGAATGGATCAACCAATAACTGATATAAGTAATATAAAATATATAAGGATATTGTAATTGGATATAAGTAATAAAAAATCACTCTTTTTGTTTTACAAATAAATTGCAACAGACATTTCAAGGGAGGCTAGTAAACAATAGCTAGCATTTAGATCTGTTATTGCTGCAAGCTCTCCATGACAGTTCATTCTTTGAGCCTTATTAAATTTATTATAAAGTATTTGATTGGGTAGTAGCAGTGGGTTAGACATCTATTATCAGCAAGGATGCATATACGAGGGAGGATAAAAGCATTTTTTTATCACCTGTGAGTGATAAAGAGGTATGAAAGTAGCATATTATTGTTTGTTAGGAAACATAACTTTCGGATAAAATAGAAATTGTAATGTGTATGTTGATTGAAAGTATAGGCTGGATTCAATAGATACTTCACGCCCTAGGCAGTTGCCAATATCTTGGCAGTCATACTGCAACCTTCCACAGGGCGAAATGCATTTCAAACAGTAGTCTTTTAGCCCCATGTAGTATACAATATTTTTTGTCTAATCTGATCACCTTTAATGTTGTGACATTTTCTAACTGCTTTTATGATTATTAACTTTGGCAGTCTTTTTTATTGCAAAAGACCTTATAGTAAACCTTTAATCTACTGCAGGAAGATTTATTATTTTAAATTCAATAACGAGTCATTTAGTCTACTCAGAACATGTTGGTAAACATCATATTAATTGGATAAAATAATAATTTTTATGAGTGAGAAAGTTTGGCCCCCAACGCAACAATAGGTTTTGAGGGGGCTAATTCCCTGAAGTTAATAAAAAATCTTTTGTTTGTGATTGTTTCACCCATTATGAGAACGTAACAGGAAAGTTTAAGTAAAATATTCAAATATTGTGTGTATGCTCCAAAGCATCGTATATTCTTTGTGTCAAGGAGTCATAAAAAGTTTGGCTCATTTAATGCATGTAAATAATTGTGTTAGCTATGAAATCAAATTTCTGGCTGTGTATTAAATTGTTTTAATCCACTAAAGAATAAAACAGTTGTTTGGGTTGGCAAGAACAACAAATTAATAGATAGTTTACATAGCTGTAATGGATAAAAATATTTTATGATGTCAATTTGGGAGTTCCTTATTGAAATGTTTTGTTGTTCTACAGGGAAGTTGATGATGAGGATGAGATGCTGTATGGTGAGACCAGTGACAATGCTATATTTGAACCTCAAATTCCAATTGAAACACCAGCCACTGTTATTACTGGAGATGAAGGCAAGGAAAGTCCTTGGTATGTTTGTATTTCAGTAATTATGATTGTTTATAGCTAGTTTTATGATTGTTATGCAAACATGTTTTTTAAAATTTAAAACAACAAAAACTGTGTTGTTGATGAGGTTGGATTGGTAATATTATTGCCAATTCCATTAGTAATTCTTTGAGTAGAAATAAATATTTATAATATTAATTTTTTTCTATATGGTCATGATTTGTCTAATTGTCATGATTGAAAAGTTGAATTGCTGATTTCCATAAGGGATCTGTGTCAAATTTTATACTTGTTGGTAAATTGAGAACAAAAACTTTCTGGTCACTTCAATATTCATCAGAAAATATATTTTTTTAAAATTTATGTTTTATATATCTATGGAATATAAAACTTGAATTTATTTCTAGATTATATGTTTTAAACAATTAAAAACAAAATCTGACTCAAGTCCCTTTTGACAATCAACCTTAGATATTTTATAAGTACTGTTTTAGGATGTAAAAATGCACCAAAGCTTATTATTTTTTTATTCAATGTATGGTGTCGAACACTGTCTATTTTATTTTGGGTTTTATCATACACTGTCATAATTTTAATTTTCTTCAGTGATTTCTGTTCTTCCTATTGCAATATTTTGTTGTAAAATCTCTGGCGTTCATTTGGCACATGTCTACCGTTTGCTTAGGTCTGCTATTTTTGTGGCCTTTATTGATACACTACTCTGCGGATACTCTCTGTTATTTTAACACAATGCGATTAATTTTTCTGAAGTTGAATTTTTGCTGTGTGTTAAATTTGCAAAATCTGATGTATTTGCTGGCTTTTACACTTTTTTCTCAGTATTTTAGAGAGAGTAAAAGTCACTCCATGGGGTAGTCTTTTTGTTTCTTCTGAGTCAACAGCTTTTTTTGTATTTTTTGGGTCATTAACTGGCAAAATCTACAATCATGCCTGTTTCCGCTAGTGCTACTGTTCCTGGATATTTTCTTGATGCATTCACAATCAATGAATACATATCTTTTCAGCCTGCTAAGCAAAGTTCACTTTGGTGCTAAGTATACCCAGGAAGGACATCATTCAGCTGTTTTAATATTTTCAATTAACAATTGTCAATGTTTACAAGGTTTAGCAGCAGTTGAAAGACAAAAAGTACCTGAGTCACTGACTGAGGTACATTTTCCCTCTCAACAGAAAACTGCCCAGGTCTGTTTACCCTTTTAGAAGGCTGACCAGAAGCCCAGTGTTGCACTCAAACAGATCTACCCACAAATTTCTCCTAAACTAAAATCCGTAAATTTTTTACTCATGTCCCTTATGAAAATCAGCAATTCAGTTTTTTTATTGTGATGATAGTTCCTATTATAGAAGTTGAATTTATTGGTCAAGGTATCTAGTTCATCTATTTTCATTTAATATTTCAAGTATTACTTGAGTTCAAAAGGTAGATTTTTAATTAGGTAGATTTACTCTTCATGGATCCCGTAGGGTACTTTTGAAAATGTTTTTTATTTTTTATTTTTTTTAATAGTGTACACAGACTCAGTAGTCAATGACTTAACCAGTTTTTCTTTTTCCTTGATATTGAAGAACATGTATCAGTGAAAGTAATGCCAGTTGATTAGTGAGTTTGTCTCCTTGTTTTTCTTCAGCCACTCTTACCTCCCAAAAATGTTCTTGGAACTTCCCTAAGTCTTGCTTGTGTTGTTTCCATCTTTGACTTTGTCTGACTCTGTTCTATCGGTTTGTTGTTATCTATACCAGGAATAGTCTTGACCATCCAGTGATATCCAGAGATTGGTCTGAGAATAAACCTATTCCCTTACATTACTAAATAGAGACTAATCAACAAGTTTTGTTTTTCTCCTTATCCTACATTATGTATTATTGAGTTGTGAACACAACACAGACGCTGATGAGATGCTTTTACCACAAAATCCTTATGCCCTATTGAAATTGTATTTGGCAAAATGTTGCAGAATTCTTACACTTGTTTGCGGTGTGATTATAGTAGAGGAGAGTTATATTATTCTGAAAAGCTGTATTGATTACAGGCATCTTCAAAGCAAATAGAATACTGCTTTTTCCGTCCTCTTCGCCTCTCCTCCCCCCTCCGCCAACCCTCCGTCACTACCTTTCTCACATGGAAATAATGAATTGAAATAATATCATTTAAAATATGAGGAATTATAATGACTAAGAGAATAGTTTTGAAAGAATTATTTTTGCATTATACAAATATGTAGTTTGCCATTCAGTAATACCTAATATTTCATACATGATTTGTATGTTCTCCATGTCTGCTGCTTGTCTGCAATTATTGCACAATTGATATTGAACATAATAGATTAATTTTTATTTAAAACTTACAAAATGGTGTTTCTTTTTTAGTTAATTGTTTATGGAATGACTTTTATTAAGACAGAAATCTTAGTGTTCAGTTTCCATATGTTGGATTACACAGTCGTGTTTCATTTCGTACTACTTCTCTTTTTTCCCCTTTATGTATCCTCATTATTTCATGTGTTTCCGTTGCTTTCATTTCTTTTTCTTTTTTTGAATTCATAGAAGTGTTTTTATTTCTGTTAGGTGGCAGAAATATGTCCAGGAAGTGAAACCTACATATTGGGTTTTCATATCAAGAGACAACGGTAACTTGGAGCTGTATACTTTACCTGACTTCCGTATTAGTTATTTAGTGCGAAACTTTGGTCAAGGTCTGCGAGTGCTATCGGATTCCTTGGGGGCAGCTCCCATGCCTGTATTAAGTGCTGGATTTAGTGAGAGTGTTGTTGGAACTGAAACTCATGTCCGCGAATTACTTATGGTTGCACTGGGTCATCATGGTCATCGACCATTACTTGTTGCACGTCTAGATGATGAATTATTAATTTATGAGGCTTATCGGTATCCACGAGGCATGCTAAAGATGAGATTTCGAAGATTACCTCACAACCTCCTTATTCGAGAGCGAAAATCAAGGTATGTATTCTTTGAAGTTTTACATAAATAATGTTTAAAAATGTAAGATATTAAAGAAGTACGTAAAAATTCTGGAGAAATATTTTTAATGATCCCAATATTATTGCTCTTAGAACAGAAACATTTAAAAAGTTTTTCAGTATGTTTCTGCAAAACAAACATAATTTTTAAAATAATTTCTAACTTTTAAATTGTTATATTTGAACTATTATGAGTGGACACTGTTTTAGGGGGGGGGATATTCTTATTTGTTGTTGGTTGTAAAATTAACTTGATACTTTTATTATCAATATTTATTATTTTTAAAGCAATGTATGTTCAATTTCAGGTCAAGAAAAAAGGCAAGTGATGAAGGGACAATAGAAAGTAGAGTGTGTCAGCTGAGATATTTCAGTAACATAGCTGGTTACAATGGTGTAAGTGTTCTTCATAGTAAAAATGCTGGCATGAAACATATTCATTTCTATTGAATACATTTCTTATTCTGCTGACTGCAGGTATTTGTATGCGGTCCGTATCCTCACTGGTTGTTTTTGACTTCAAGAGGAGAGTTGAGAACTCATCCTATGACAATCGATGGAGCTGTAACCTGCTTTGCTCCCTTCCATAATATTAATTGCCCACAAGGTTTCCTTTATTTCAACAAGAAGGTATTATAAGTGTGTTCTATAAATATTGGATGCTATTTGATATATAATTGTCCTTTATATTGAGAAACATTTTCCAGGCGGAACTTCGTATTTGTGTTCTTCCCACTCACTTGTCGTATGATGCTCCGTGGCCTGTAAGAAAAGTTCCTCTACGTTGCACTCCACATTTTGCAACTTATCACTTGGAAAGCAAGACTTACTGTGTTGTTACAAGTTTAGCGGAACCAACGAATAAATATTACAAATTTAATGGAGAGGACAAGGTAAAGCATTGGTGTAGTATTTTTTATTTTGTATGTGTGTGTGTGGTGTGGGTGTGTAGTGTGTGTAGTGAGAATTCTTTGGCAGTGTTAGTGCTGAATTGCAGACTGAAAATGTAAATAGAAATTTAATTATTATTTTGCTGAAAATTTATGTGCAACTATGCAAGATATTTTCTGCAATTCACAATTGAAAATGTTTGTTTGGCAGGAGCTCACTGTTGAAGAACGCAATGATCGGTTTCCTCTTCCTGTTCAGGAGAAATTCAGCATTTTACTATTTTCCCCTGTATCTTGGGAGGTGAGTATTACCAGAGGAATAGTTTTTATGCACTAAGCAAAAAAAAGATAGTTACAATAATTATTTTGAATTCTGATTGGTAAAAATCCAAATCTCTTGTACTTCTTTAGTTCTTGATGAAGTGGCAATGAGGTTGAAAAGAAATTTGTCAACTTACTTTGACTTCTTTGGATAATATTGCTTGTGTCGGAAGTTTAAAGAGTTATTACTGAAACTCTAAGCTACACATGGCCAAGTTGCCCTTGTGTTAAGAGTTGGTATGACTCAAGACAATCCAATTGCTATTGTATCCATTACAAAAATCGAGGATATGTATGAGGTTTATGGTAGGCATGCAGACAATGTTATTTTTTAATTTAAACTAAAGGAGTCTTGTAGACTGAAAAAACTATCCATGATACAAATCATTTGCCATGAACTTAGAAATGTACTGTCCACTTTTAAGATTATTTTTATTGTTATAATAACATACATACATTAAATTATCTAAGTGTGAGTTAGAACAAAATCCAAACAAAAAAAATTCTGGTTACGGAGGTTTCCATTTTATGCAAGATTGTCCATTCTATGACACTTGTGATATTTATATTTGTGTTCTGAAAGTAGTAAATTACTCGACTTTATTATAATTATTAAAATAATTAACATATAACGTATTTATGGAAGAAATCACCAATAAACGAATATGAAATATTCATTATTGACAGCTTCTCAATTTCTCTTGCTTCAATAAATTTGTCCTTTTTATGTAAGGTTACCGTTTTACGGTGTTGTCATTGTTAAACTGGTTGTGAAATTCATAAAAATACATGCCTTACTGCCTAGTGGCTGCATTTGGACTGCATGCTGACTCTTTCAAGCACAATACGTCACAACCCACAGTACTATGACTTTCCGATACCCTTGCACGGCCTTGAGCAATGTACATATGATCGAGAGGTTATGAATTTCAATGCGGGGCAGGTAGTTGCATGAATAGAAGCCATACCTGTACACCTTCCTAAGCTCAGAGCTGGGAGAGAGGGAATTTCCTTGCAGTCTATGCCTTGAGAGACAAGAAACCCCAAGATAAAATTTTATGCTGACAGCTGATGCCCTTCTCCTTCAAAGTGTGGCTGCCATGACTAAATTGTGTGCGACGGTAGAGAATTTAAAACAGGCTTGCTGATGCTTTCATTTCATTAGGAATACCTCACATCTCTCTGCCAATTACATTAAATTCACAGGAAGTCCATTTTAAAATGTTTTTTCCCCTCTGTAGGAAATTAAAAACTGTTCTGTTTCCATATTGGAAATGTTCCATTTTGTGCTGTGTAAAATGTCATTTAACTTAATGGGTCGCAGAAATTTTCTAGCTAAGGCCGGTTTCTGGTTTGTACAGGTTTCGGTTTAGACAAATTTTACTGCAGTATAAAATACATTTATTGTTTAACCTCATGAGGAAACTAAATTAGGATTTTCTTCTGACATATTTATCAACTAAGTATTTTGGACATCCTTGTGAAATCACAAAAAGTTACCAGAGACGTTTTGCTACAAGAATATTAATTGTAAGCAAAGTGAATTTGGATTGTGTTGCATATGTGTAACTCTGAGGTGAGGCACTCATGTCTCTCTATAATATGTGAGTTTGGCTCGGCCTTCGACTTACCAACAAAACAATGATGGCTGTTTTAGCAACTGTCACATGCACTCATTTAAAATGACAGGCCACAACACTAGCAGGTGACATTCGTCAAAGATCTTGAAAGGCTTCTCATAGCAGAACAATGACATGCATTATACTCATTGCCAGGCTGTCAAGATGCAAGCATATGAAAATTGTTGAAGGAATAAAGGAGGATGATAGGCTCAGAGGCTTTTAAATCAATAGTTTTTCTTAAGGCCTTCATTATAACTTGCCATATTTACATGGACATTTTGGAGGTGAAATGGTATGACAAGCTGACACTGGTCTATACATTAGCATGGTGGACCCTCTTGGCCCTCAACCTGCAGTACTTAGAGTGTCTCCCTAAACAATGAGAGGCTTGTCAACACCACCAGTGATTTGGACACACAGAAACTCTCACTAAAAGGAACACAGTCAACATCATAGGAGGGCAGAATTGCATTAATTTGAATGGTTACTTTACAACTGGCTAACATGTTGACAAACTACAACGCGCCATCCAAAACCTGAATATCATAATCTTGACTCTGCCATTTTGGTACAGAAAAACCAACACTGCTAAGAAAAATTAGACAAGCGAACAATGAACCGAAACTGCATCTGGGAGACCAATGTTAAACTATTTGAGGTAAACTTTCTCACAGAAAACTACCTCCCAGGCTTGGTCTTCACCTAAACCTTTCTGGAGAACAGTTCTTGGTAGTGAGCTTGCAAAACATATTCTTTCACATCCTTGGCAGTGTATTGTTTAAGACTCATCCCCTTTCTTACTCTGGGCCTCCTGTCGATCCATTTATTTATCTTATTACCTGGACCTAATCCTTGTACTCATTCCTTTCCACTTGCCTCATCTCCTGTCACTATTGGGGCATGATACTTCCTTTGGGAAAAAATGAATTAAATAAGTAGCAACTTCAGTCAGATGAAGCAGAAAATATATTCATGCAGATAAATGCAAAATATAATTAATTTATAAATTTGTGAAATATCTGTTTGCTCCAACTTATTCACTTACTTAATTTCATTGCCCAACTAATTGCATTTATCAATGTTATAATTTGTTTTATTTCATTTTATTTTGCCCTGCTGTGCTCATACATTTTCTCACCACTCAACTGTTATTATCATGATAAGACTTTTATTCTGTCTCATGGGTCTCGACATACTACCTACAGTAAAACCCCGTTTTTACGTTCCCGCAGTTTACGTTTTCCTGCCTTTTACGTAATCTTTCGTTGGTCCCGTTGAAAAGCGTATATTTACAATGCATTCTCTTCCCGCAATTTACAAGTTGATATGAAGAGCGCTCGATCTTTTACGTTTTTATTTCTTTTTTTATTTTATTTTATTTTTTTACTTTCTCGAATACGTAAGTTACCAAGTGCTCAGAAAGTTATGTAATGCTGCGGCAAAAACGACGATTTTTCGACAGAAAAATTCGTACTGATACTGAAAACGTGGATAAATCCTGTTTCAATATGTAGTAAATTACTACATATATGTGTAACGAACTCGCAAATGTCTCGCGTTCGTTCAGATCAATCGAGGAATATCGATTTTCGAGAAAATCGACAAGCGGTTTAGACGTTGAAAAAACGCCGTCAATCGATTTCGCTGTTTCAAGCGCCCAGAAAACAGAGATTCAGGCTACATCACGTGTTAGAGGAAGTAATTTACTACATATAGGAGTATGATTTATCCACTTTTTCATTGCCAGGGCACGTCAATAGGAGATTTTCTGACAAAAATCGCCGATTCCGGCGCATGCTTCTACTCGCCTAGCCTATAGTTTTTCAACTTTCCTGTATTTTACACTTTCCTGCATTTTACACTTTTTTTCATTGGTCCCCTGAAAAGTGTATTAGAGGTGTTTTACTGTATTACCTTTTTACCTGTCGTATGTGGACATGCAATTTTGTACAGAATGGCAATTTCTGGAATATCTATAGGTTGAAGCAACTTATTGAATTAATGGCATCTAACTACAAATTATTAGCCTTTTCTTTTTCAATAATAACAATTTAACATTTATTATACAACTGTTACAAATTATATTGAGCTCATTAGTGATATTAGTGAATTTTCCTATGTACAATACGATTCTGATGGACTTACTGTGATCTTTGCATGCTATGATGATTTCTCAGACATCTTCCAAATTAAAATGATACCTCTTATATACTATAAATGACTTCTTACTTCATACAATACAAATCTGTCAAAATTAACTATAAATCACTTTTTTCCCTATCCTTGAGCTATTATCCAACTGAATGCCAACTCCTCTCAATCTCATCTCAACTGAAATGCCACCTTCACACCTCCGATAGTAATGTCCTCTGTGCAGTGATCCCCAAATGAATAGCATTCTGTCATCAAGCATGGAATATTATAACTTGGTTTATTATTGGTCATCCTAACCATATGTATTCCTTGGTTCTAAGCATCCTATATGTATGTTACATTGCGTCTATGATGCTTGATGCCATTTTTCCTGTTCAAAATACAACTGGGATTTTCTGGCTTGTCACACTTAGTTTTTTCCTCACAGGCTCCTATTGGAGAGTCAGGGAATCAAATAAAGTAAAGAGTAAATTTGTTTTCATACTCTATGTAAGACTACATTTTGCACCATTTTTTTTGTTAACTAAGTTTTACTTTTTCATGAAATGTTTAATTTTCTCATTTGAAGAAGAAAGCACACATTAAAGTGGAAAAAATGTACATTAGAAATCATGTTGATGCTAACTTGTTGCCAGAATTTAATCTACATTCTGTTGAAAATGATTTTGAAACAAGAATTGTATATCTTACAATGGTCATGATTATCTTACTTTGCATCTACAGACCTCTAACAAAGTGAGCAGTTGTTTACTTCTCTTTCTTAGAAAATTTCAAGATAACTGAATAAAATGAGTAATCTCTCAATTAAATTCATTATTGTGTGGAGATTCCAACATTAATTTTCTGGATAAATCTAATGAGAAAGAGCAGTTTCTCAATTTAATTAATTCTTTTAATTTAGATATTACTGGAAATATCTACACAGAATCAAAATAAGTAATTAGTATTAGCACATTAAAAACCCTTTGATGTATAGAAAAAGCATATGCACGTATTAAAAATACACCTATGGATAGATTATTTACTAAAGTTAAAATATAACTATTTACTGACTCACTACTTGGTGCAAGAATCTTGGGACCTAGTGTATGATGCTGTTGTCACAAATAACAAAGATAATTTATTTTTCTGAAAGCTATCATTTCATTTTAATGTGCGCTTTCTTCTTAAAATGAAAAAATTAAACATTTCATGAAAAAGTAAAACTTGGTTAACAAAAAAAATGGAGTAAAATGTAGTCTTACACATAGTATGAAAACAAATTTACACTTTACTTTATTTCTAAACATGATAACACATCCCTCAATTTCCAAGTCTACTTTGGAAAATACAAAAGCAAATTAAGGAAAGTAATAGCACAGGAAAACATACTGAAGAATGGTCAGGAAATAACAATCGAAAAGAAAAATGTGTTTTTTAAAAATTATATATATTATGATAGTTCACATTTCAATGGGTAATAACCAGAACAGTGTAAGTGACATTTTATAAATTCTGAGAAAAACGTATTTATTTTTAGCTATATTTTAGTGGCAATGTATTTTTGTAGTTTTAATGAAGAATTAATATGCTTTGGTTTTAATGATGGAACAGAGCACCATGACTTTACAGTATTATTGACTTAAATAATGAGATTTCTCAGAATTTATAAAATGTTAATTAAAGAGGAGAACTTACTTATATCCATTCTCACGTATATACTTTTTATTCTGCTGCAATTTTCAGAGAGATTAAAATTGTTCATGGATTGTGAAATAAAAAAATTTAAATGTAACATTTGGATATTTATTTATGTTTATTCTTGTTGAGTTGAATGTTTAAATGGTTGTTGACTGTTTAGGTAATCCCTAACACAAAAATGGAACTAGAGGAGTGGGAACATGTAACATGTTTGAAGAATGTCAGTCTGGCTTATGAAGGTACGAGGAGTGGTTTGAAAGGCTACATTGCTGTTGGTACAAATTATAATTATGGTGAAGATATAACTAGCCGAGGAAGAGTAAGTAATTTTGTGTCATTGCTATATTTTGAATAACTAAATCAATAAATCAACTTTACCATCTGCAATAACTCAGGTGTACTCTTACTACATAACTTTTCTCTTAACATTCTTAACTGCATTACAAACTAACATTCTGAACCGTCATGAATCTTTGAGTATAAGATTGCCTACCTTGAAAATGGCTTTGATGAACATTAAGGTGCTTTATATAATAATGGTTTATGGCATATTTAGCCAAATATATTATAAAGTATATATTAAAAAAATATAAGAATTAATGAATATATTATAAAGTTGATCAGGTTTTTGTTCAGTTTTTCCCGCGTCCCTTGAGCAAGGGCTTGAGATGGCCTTTGTTTTGCTCCTGAACAGTTAATGTCTCTCCACCCCAGACATCATATTGGACTCGTCATACACATTTGTAATTTATATGTGACTCAATAATAATTTTATTATTATGATTATTTATTTATATTATTATTATTATTATTATTGTCATTGTTATTATTATTATTATTATTATTATTATTATTATTAAGTCATGTGTTAGATACCTTGATAATTGTCAAGTATATGATTTGAAAATTCTAAGATTTTTGCTGCATGGTTATAGTTATTTATGCACCAATGACCCTTGGGCTTTTTGGCACCACTCAATCATCAGAACTAGTGGTACATACATGATTTTATTTTTTACCTAATAATGTTGATTCAGATCTACTTAATTACTTATTAACTAGTTGTTAACTTGATTTATCTTTTCATTATTTCCTCCTACATTTCCCTTATATAATTTCCTTCATTAGAGAACATGTAGCGTCATTCAACCGTTTTCATATTTCCCTCATAACAATGATCCTCTCAATCCTGGTAAGTTACATATCAAGCTCCGTATTTAAGGCAATAACAAAGAATAACATATAGGTAAAAATAAAAATTATATTTACATCTATTATCTTCATCAAGTATTATTTACATCTATTGTCTTGTTTCAACATGGGCTCTTATCTGTTATGCTGTAGATTTTGATTTTTGATATTATTGAAGTTGTGCCAGAACCGGGTCAACCTTTGACAAAAAACCGTTTTAAAATGGTGTACTCCAAAGAACAAAAAGGCCCAGTGACAGCCATAACACATGTGGTTGGATTTCTGGTGTCAGCAGTTGGTCAGAAGGTAAGTAGTTCTACTCAAATTAAAAATGTCATTGAGTGTTATTTGCTAAAGGTGCTTTTTGAAAAACTACTTTATCGAAAGCAGTTAATCAGGATTCTGCAACTAATTACTGAAATACTTTTAGGAATTTTAATTCTTTTCTGTTTAACAAATTAAGTTTCTTTTTCAGATATACATATGGCAGTTAAAAGATAATGATTTAGTTGGTGTTGCCTTTATTGACACCAATATTTATATTCATCAATTACTGAGTATTAAAAGTCTTATTCTGGTTGCTGATGTTTATAAATCTATCAGTTTGCTTCGTTTCCAGGAAGAGTATAGAACTCTTTCTCTTGTGAGTCGGGTATGTTGTTTGTTTATTTCAAATTCATCTTTAAAGCCTCTAATGGTTTCCATTGTTACAACCATTATAAATGAACTCCAACTATTTTTCCTGTAGTTCTTAATAAAATAAGGATAAATAAGGTTTTAAATCAAAATTTAGTTACTTAAATCATTCATGTAACTCAAGTTATTGTAACAAAGTTTAAGCAGGTGTTTCCTCGTGGCTTAGAGATATTGAGTTTATTGGAGCTGTGTTTTTACCAGTGCTCTTGAAATGTTTTCCTAATTGTTATTGTTAATTTTTAATTTCCAAAAATAATTGCATTTGTAATTTGGTCTAGAAGTGTCTGATTTCCCATTAAGCCTTTGTTACCCTTTGATTTGATTAAAAATGCTGATAAATCAGGTCTCAGTTTCCCAAAACAGTAGATTTACATAATGGAAAACATGATCTGCTTTCAATGCAGGGTGGTGTGAGTAGGTGCAGTTGAAATTTTACGTGGTAATATTTCTGTGCCTTTAGGATTTTCGACCCACTGAAGTGTACACCTGTGAATTTTTGTTGGACAATACTCAGATGGGATTTCTAATTGCTGATGGTGAAAAAAATCTTGTTCTTTACATGTATCAGCCAGAATCTAGAGAAAGTTTTGGTGGTAAGTTTTCTCCCAACCATCACTGAATAACAATATTTTTAAATGTTTATATTGTATGTAGGATATTTTGTTTTAAAGGTCAGCGCTTATTACGAAAAGCGGATTTTCATCTTGGTCAACACGTTAACACATTTTTTAGAATCAGGTGTAAAATCAGTGACTTGACTTCCGATAAAAAGCAGCTCATGGGAGCTGAAAGAAGACATATAACAATGTTTGGTAAGTGCTTTTTATAACATTATTATCAAGTTCTTTGATACGGAGTCTTTGCTCCTGTTATTGTTTCGTAACAAGTGATGAATGTCTATTTTTCAAAGCAAAATTGTTTAATGTATTTTTCTATTAATAGAAAATAATTTTAAAACAAAAGAAGGTCCCACAATACACAAAATGCAAAACCACAAACATTCCACAGTCATTCCTCATAGAGCCCAGTCAGCTATGGATTAAACAGAGCTGAATGCTGCTCTGTTTAATCCATCACTAAAAAGTTTTATGAATTTATTGGTTACCCTCAGCATTTTAAATAAGTCATAGATATGTACAGTGAGTTTGACAATTTTGTACATTAACTATTAGCAAAAGTAAGTTTAGTGTAATGAAATTTATTAACATTTTTTGTTTATGTTTTAGCAACCTTGGATGGAGGTTTGGGCTTCGTTCTCCCTGTGCCAGAAAAAACATACCGTCGTCTTCTGATGTTACAGAATGTTTTAGTTACACATGTCTGCCATACTGCTGGTCTTAATCCCAAGGGGCTTAGGTAAGTTAACAATCATATCCTGATCTTTTTATTGCAGATTGCATATGGGGTGCTAAAAAAAATATAAAATTCATTTTACCTGTAGCCAATTATATTTTGTTGTTAAACTTGTGTTGAATTTTTTGTGCATTTACTTGTGTTCAATGCATTTACAACTTACTAACCTTTTCGCTGCAACAAACCCCTCCTAGCGCATCGCTGCCCTGTGCTGACGCACCGTAGTGGCTGGTGACCGCTGCTTGGAGTGCATTTTCCTGTTTCCAAAGGGCGTGCACTAGCAGGGAATCAGTGGCGGCAAAGGACTAACGCGCATACTTCCTATCTTTCTTTTTCATATGGACTTTCGGTGTATACTGGCGAAGTTAGAAATATACATTTTTAGATTTTGTTTTTATTTTAAAATATTTTTATGCCTTTGAAATGAATGATTTTTTTTTTGTGAAATTCATTTTAAAACACTGTCTAACACGACCTCATAAATATTTTTTGAACTTTTGATGTTATTGGAACTTTAGAAATTCATTTTTCTGTGTTTCACTTTAAAACATGGCCTAACACTCAGATGCACATTACATTCCTCACAAAAGAATCGTTAGTCACGGCCAGTAATAAAATCGAGGTTCATTCCCCTTTCACAATCACACCGCACTAATAGTTTAATTTCAAACCTGCTTTGTTTTGAAGTTATATACTGGAAAACAGCTGCCCTGTGAACAAAATTAGGCTTTCAGCGACACACATCTTATCGAACGGGAATAATGAACTTGTAATGCACTGGCCAATGGCATTTATGTCTATTTTGAAAAGAAGAATGCCGCTGTGTCCTACATTTTTTGTCACTGAAATGAAGCATTCTCAGTGACTACAAAAAACTATCTCAAGACATTATTGCCCCTAAAAGATGCGTCGAATATTCATTTAGTGAGTTTATTGTTAATTCTCGGTATTAGTAAACATACTTCAAGAAAACTTACATTTCATCAGGAGACGCATCACTCCATTTAGCAAGTCGTGAATTATATTTTTTAATGGTTGGCAGAGATTTTTGCTTTAATTAGCCAACCCTCTTATATCGTTGTCTTTTCATACCTGTAACCTTGGCCGTCATTGTGTTTATATAGCTATGAAACTTTACTTTATCCATCAGTTTCAGTCTCCTTCTTCTTCTTCTTCTTCTTCTTCTTCTTTCCTTTCTTCTGTAACATGTTATTTGCTCTGAAAGTGAACCTAAGAGTGAAAGAAACTAACTAGGAGTCTGCTTTTCTGTAGCACCACTTGTTAAATTATGGAATATATATTCCCTTTACCTTTGTTTCCAAATAATTTTTTTAAAGAACATTTTTCTCAATTTTCTCGTTTTTCTCAGAATAGTATTTCCTAATGCTCATTTCCTTAAAATTTTGGCTTAATTTGCAATGAAAAGCAAATTACTTGAAAATTCATGTTTTAATTAATGCTAAGGTTTACTTATTTTTAATTTTTAAATTATTGTGAACTTCAAAATCTTTCCATCATTCAAATGTTTTTGTATCCATTTCAGGTAGCTATTTGTGTAATTTTTTTATGATCTTCTTTTACCAAAACCTTTATGCCAAATTTGGTTTGAGTCACATTAATGACACAGAAAATTTATGAGAAGTTCTACTGATAGAGATAGCTGCTCCCTTACACCATTGATGTCTGGTCCTACCTCTAATCTAGACCATCTAAATATTCATATCGCTTGGAATTTGTTAGCAGATGCGTTATATAAGTTTTGTATATATTCTCTGAATGGTATCAGAAATGCAGTGTTACAAGGGTTTGTGTTTGCTAATGAAAAGAAAAATTGGAAACCATTTTCAGTATTTTTGAACATTCCTTCAGCTCAAAGTAAATATTTTTGTTCCCAAAATAAAATCTCATGAAAATGTGGAAGTCATTTGCATAATAGTTAAAAATTTCAGATAATTACATTCGTTCTCAAATGTATCTACTTTAGAAAACCTGTCACATGAGTTTCTGATGGATGTGAATTACCGAGTTGGTTGTTAAACATTTGTGACAACTTCCTCTTTGTTTTCTCTTGCATTCAAGCTAGCGAATGTGATCATAATTACCTTTATGCTGAAATTATGGAATGCTATTTTTCTTTCCAATTACATATGTTAAATACTATTAACTGAAATACTTCAATGGAAAATGTTTAAAAGGTTATGCTACATGTGTATTTGACTTTTGTTAACAATAATATTTATTGTTGAAAGTGCCCCTTGTTTTTGCTATATGAAATGTTGGTATCATTGCTGTTTCATTGTAGATATATTGTAGCCATGCAAACACAAAGACAACCAATTGGAAATTAGATATGTTGCCATGGCTACAATTATTGATGTAACAAAGCTGATTATTGAAATAATGATTGTGTATATGAAAATGTCTTGTTAAAATTGGCTTTTGCGAAGTAAGGTTTCATGGATTTGTTTTTGTAAGATTTTGTATTTCTTTTTCAGAACTTACAAAAGCTCCAATAAATTGCTGAGTAATCCAGCAAGAGGCATTATAGACGGTGAACTAGTGTGGATGTTCCTGGGTCTTCCAACACCAGAAAAGCATGAAGTTGCAAAGAAAATTGGTACTAAAGTGGATGATATAATCGAAGATTTAGCTGATATTGAACGGCTTACTGCTCATTTTTGATTTTCATATAAATTTACTACAATTGGATTTTCAAAGTGAATGATAGTGTGTGCAAGAAATGTTATTTTTTATGGTGTAGGACACAAAAGTGTCTTGTACAACCTGTGTGTGTGTGTGTGTGTGCAACATTCTGTGATAACCTTATGTGAGCACATAAGTTATGATGGAATTATTTATTTGGATGCCTTCTTCTGATGAAACTTTTTTGAAGAGAGAAACCTGTTTATTAAAAGTACATATTAATTATATTGACTATTTAATATAATTCATGTTATCCTTCTTTGTGAAATGTATTTTTTGTGTGCCAACATATGAAGTCAAGGATAATGAAAAGAACAAAAGAATACATGTTAATTTCATTTTTATTGATTGTTTGAGTTCTACATGTGTATCTTTACATGAATTATTGTAATATGGTTTATCACAGTTCTAGGAGGGAAATGAAACTCTTTTCAATGATATGCAGCAAGGAACTGTTTTAACATTTTAACAAAAAAATGTTGTGAGTTTTGTAATGCATATACTTTTAATATATTTACAAATTAAAGGCTTTGTCGAAAGATCAATTTATTACATATTCTGGATTCATGAAATTAAACAAGTTTTAGGGAACAGACACTTATACATATTGATGAATTTACTATGTACAGTAAATCTGGAATAATATTTTCGATGCAATATGAAGAAATTGTACTCAATGCATGATAAGCAGTGAACTAATGGGTCACTGTCTTATGCTTTTAGTTGGAGATGAGATACTATTCATTGTTTCTGGTATATGTGATGAACACCCGTGAAACCTTAAAATTTTGTAATCATCTAATGGAAAAAAGGAAAGGAAATGAAAACAAATGGTAATCAGACATAAATTTAAAAACTGCTTGGCAGAAAGGAAATAAAATGCACATGATTGTCTTCAATAAACTCTGCAAGGCATAAAAACAATACTGTTCTTTCTTAATTTGGAATATTATAAGTCAATCGGTGAATTGTCATCAATCATTGTCTAGCAGTTATAAGTTTCAGTTATTCTATTGTTCATCAAATGGCAAGAAAAATATTACTTTTATGACCTCCCTGCGTGAAAAGTAAATCAAAGTGAAATGTGTAAATGAACTCTAAAAAAGAAAAGTTGGGTTTACAAAATTTGAAGCAACATATTTCTGTTTTCCCAGAAATGTAGTATCCTTTATTGAAGGATTCAAAGGACACTAATATTTAAATCCTCAATTGGTTTTCTTTTCATCTGTGATATTTAAACTGGAAGTAAAAGCATTTGCAAATAATAATATGCTGACGAATTCCGACGTAACTTCATGATTTCATACTCTTATGGTAAATCTTCCTTATGACATCCATTACCCGGCTGATGTTTTGAATCTGAAAGAAGCTTTTAACCACTTGGTACAAATTCTGAGTTATAGCTTCACATTTTTGTTTTTCTGTTTTGTATTATCTCCATCTTTGCAAAGGGTTTTTGAAGTATCAATACCAGCATGTCCATCAGCTATCAACTTTCTGAGTTCTTCTTCCCAGCCTAAGCCACGGGCTAATTCTAAACACCCATCATCACAGTCCCCAAGCCATGCCACATCTCGAGTGTTGCCTTCTGCATCAAAATCCAAACCTGATCCCATTCCTAAGAATGCCATTACAGAACTACGTTGACCAGCTTTAGTTCTGTTAATTAATAACCGTGGACAATTCTTAGGCACTTGTTCTATTAAGGATGCAAAAGGTTCAACTGTAAGAGAAGAACCCATTATAATCAACAAATCACATTGTGGAAAGTCTTGTTGGGAAGAAATGTAGAAACGATGTGGCAAATTTTCTCCAAAGAAAACTATATCTGGTTTCACTATATCGTTACATTCATCACACTTGGGCACTGAATCAGAAAAAACATGTTCCTTTACCCACTCCTGTTCAAAAGATTTTCGACATCCCAAACAATGTGATGTGTGAAATGTACCATGTGCTTCAATCAATTTCTCTCCTGGCAGGCCAGCAACCCGCTCTAGTGTATCAATATTTTGTGTGTAATGCCGCAACAGTAATCCTTTCTCATTCAGAAGTTTCAAGAAATAGTGGCAGGGTGTTGGCTTGAAAACACCTGGATACAACTCTTTGGCCAGAGCAAAAAATGGTTTTGGATTCTCTCGAAAGAATCCAATTTCAAATATAGCAGTGGGATGTGGTAAATTGTATTTGGCTAAATTATCATACAGCCCTGACCCTGGAGAACGGAAATCTGGGATTCCTGAGGAAGTGGAAATACCAGCACCAGCCATTGTAATTATTTTTTTACATTTTCCATCTTTAATAAAATTTATTACGCCGTGGATGGACACGTCATCTAAAATCTTGGGTTTACGTTCTTCTGCATCATCGTTTTCATGTAGTCCTAATTTCTGAACCATGTAGCGGCGAAGCATTTCAATGGTACTTCCACCTTCATCGTCTGACGACTCTGAAGTGTGTTCATCTTTAGGAATAACGTTGCTCGAGCTTGGTGCCGACACACTACTGGCACCAGCCTTCTCGTCGCCTTCGGATTGCGACGAATCATTCTCTGTCTCTTTTTTACTAGACATCTGCAAATTCAGAAAATAGCAATTCATCAATATTTGGTCGAATTGACAACATAACGTACGACATTCAAAGACATTTTGATATACTAACTGAAGAAAACTACGCTACACGATATTAACATCTAAATCACTGTGGATTGGTTGGCTTGGCCATTATAATTCAAAATAATAATATTGCGCATCACTGTCTCGTAGTATTGCATATCGCATTCAAAATTTACTTTACCTTTCCCAAACAAATAATTAATACATTATTAGAAAACGCACAAAAAATGTAGTTTGTTCTAAAATTATTCTTTTCCGTGACCGGTATTAAACCCACTCTGGTACTTACCAGGTGCGTAATAACCAAAGTGACACTAATCGGTGCTGGTGCTTAAGGTATTTAACTGCGTATCCATCCGTGATTGATGATAGATTGTTAGATGTTAGGGTGACAATTGTCATATTGGCTGCATTGCTCACGATTCAATGCCGGCAACGTGCATCAGCGTAAATTTCAAATAAATAATTTTTAATGTTTCTTTGCCTAGGTATACATACCACATGTTTTTTTCTAGTGCCTAACTTTTGGTTTCATAAAGCTGGTTGTATGAAGCAAACTATATAAAAACTCTCAAAGCGAAGGCCAGCGGTTGCACTCACTGGTATGTGACCAATTATAAACATTTTTATAAGTACTGATGGCACTATTGTAAAACAAAAGACATTGGAAATTCAGAATACCCAACGTACAAACAAACGTCTAGCGAAAGTACAAGCTTACTGGCGCGTATTGGTGGCAAGTCCAACAAGAACTTAACAAGAAGGACCGAAATGCTAACGCGACGTGATTCCCCTGATGCAAACGAAAAATCTTTGGGGTTGGTCTCTGGTTTCCTTTATTTTCAATCGGCAATGTGTGGTTATAATTCGTGCGGTAGTTCAACCGCTCACTATCACTGTCAAATGTGTGGTTTTGCTACGAGTGAGGTAACTAACATAAAAAAAAACTTGCTCTTGTATTTGTTTTAAAAAGGATTTGCTGCTCAAATTATTTGAAAAATCGTATTTAGTTAGTAATAGGTTGCACTAACAATTCTTTTTGTTGCAGCTGTCTCATACTAGCGTGCACAAGGAAACTTGTACTAGATTAACTAAGAATCGTTTCGCTCAATCGCCTTGTTTACAAGTAACTAGTAACACTCCAGGATCCGATCATTCATTATCAACTGCATATGATCCTGGACCAGAATCAACAATGCCTGTCAGTTCAGTGTCAACATCTGTGCAAATTAGTAATTCTAGTAATCATCTCTATTATCGAACGGGCTCTCAGCAGTCATCAATGTTTAACCCTCTGCTCTCTGGGCAGAATCAACCATTATATAGTGGTGTTTTTGGTTCTCAAGTAGGGTTCTCAACTCAAAATAATTACTCTGCTAGTTTCAATGGATTTACTCACATGGAACCACCTCCGTGGCTGTCTGAGACTCGTATGAGTTCCTCTACCAATAGCACTCCAAGCCTTGATGCTGGAAGAACTAGCAAAACTCTTAGCTGCAATTCACAAGGCATGTCACATTCGTGTTGTGGTAGTAGGGTGGGTGGATTACTTGAGAATATTGGATTGTGTTCCCCATTATCAACAGACACTTACAAAACGTTAAATAAAGAATCAAGTTGCCAGCACAAAAGTGCCATAAGTATGGAGAATCAAAATTGGTTTTGTGGCCAGGGAATGTTAGGATACAGTGGTCAGGTGTCCGGTCAAGGCATACAAAATAGTATGTATAAGTGTTCGGAACCCTTTCCCTCGTGTACTATGTCTCAGTTAGGCATTCCATTAAATGAACAAGACTTGAAACATTCTAATTCGTGCTATGAGTCTAGTTCTACTCAAAAACAAGGCTCAACTTTTTTGAGTTCTACACGGAAATCAAGCTTCATAGAAATCAACAAAGATCATTGTTCCAAATTTGCATCCCAAAAAACACCTGTTGATGTACAGGATCATAATTCTCCGTGTATGCAACCCAAGGAGCATGGGAATTTTGATGGGCATCCAATCATGTTTGGAGGAGTTGATGGCGATTTACATGATGACATGTATTCTCAGAATTCAGTAGTCATACAAAGTTCAGAAGATCGAAGTGTGTCAGTTCCGTATACTCATATGAGTAAATCAGGGCAACTCTCTCAATCTAGTGTTCAGGAATCTGGAAAGAGCTTCAATATTTCACATTCTACCCAGGCATCTTCTCTATTCTCACGGTGTAATCTGCCAACTTGTGAAGCCCTTGATGGCTATTTGCAACTTGAAGGACAGCCACTGTACCAGTACCCACAGATTGCCCCTACTACAAATAATATTGATGACGACCAAGCAAGTAATCAAGGTTCTTGTAGTGGAGCTGCAGAAAGTGACATAATTGTGGAAGAATCTGAAGAGGAGGTAATGGAGAATGAGGTTAGTAGCGGCCGTTAAAAATGTACATATTGCGGTGTTTTCAAGTAAGGATTAAGCTAGAGATTGTGAAAGCGATGCACACTGCATGTTTATACATTTTTATATTAGACCCCTTGAAATTTGAAATCTAAATTAAATGTGATTGTCAATAATGTTTCTGTAAGTATCTTTGCATCTTCTTCAAGAGAGGGTTCTTAGAATTTATAGGACTGTTTCTACTTACTAAAATATTGCAATACTTTCTCAATTTTGCAGAAGAGAGGAAGAAGATAAATTTTCAAAATAAAATTAAACTTGACAGTTAAACTAAGAAGATATCAATATATTGTGATTTTTAAATGGAGTTTTAGTTATCTGTCCATGTTTTAGTGGTGTCCATTAATACGTAAAGCAAATTTGGGAGTTATTTTGAATTCTCACCTCCTTGTAAAACCCATATGTATTCTTGACTATCCCCTCTCCAAATAGTTCGTACTCTTATGACTCCCCCCCCCCCACACCCTGTAAATGCAAGAAGTGAAAATAAGTTATAGCACAGTAAAAACAATTTGAATTCATTTTATTTGTGTGGTACATTAAAATTAATGATAATAAAAGGTGGAATTAGTAGGCGATGCTGACTGCACCTACAAGTAAGTTGTGAGTGAAGGAATGACACATAGGTGAGAAAATTTTTCTTCTGAAACCGCATGGACGAGAATACTGAACCAAATCAAATGGATTTTAGAATACACTACTTATCAGTTTGGAATATTTTTTTCGTAATATTGCAGATTGAATACAAAATTTTCATTTACTGTTTAATTAACAATTTACATCTAATATATTTAAGTTATTCATGTTTTTGTATCAAATTAATCAGTTAATATTTTTATGTTTTAATATTAGACTAAAAAAGGAATTATTTCAGTAAATGTTGAAAAATTTAAAAATAAAATATCAGTAACAATAAACAACCCCCTCTTGTTATGTGGCGTAATGGTGCCTCAGAACCCCTCCGCTCTTAATTTATGGATGATCCCTCAGACTGCTATAGATGTTTAGAAAATGAGACTATATATTTCTTTCTAAATAGTAGATTTAGATTAGATTATAAAAGGAAAGCTGTACTGGATGCCTTTGAGTGTATGTTGACGTAGTGTGCCACTTAGTTGTAGGAAGGGAAGGACATACGAATTGTAAACATTGAAATTAATCCCTTGTCTGTTGAAGTGGCATATCAATGGTTATGAAACAGTACTGTACCTCCCAAAATATAAATTTTTGAGAGAGATCAAAAATCATTGACTTATTCTTCAGTATAATTTAAATATATCTTTTTATTGTATTGTATTAACATTTTTCAATTCAAAAACACTATTTTAACAAAATAAAACTTTTCCTCCTTTTTTTTTTGGTATAAGAGTGAACCTTAATTTAAAGAAGAAAGTGCATTTTTGATAAAAATGAATATGTGAGGTATTGTTTGTCAAGCATTGATATGTAGGATTTTAAAATTTTGCTGTCAGTAGGTATCAAATAAGAAACCCTTTTATGATGCATATTTCTTTGTATTTCACTGCATAACAAAAATAGTTGTAAAAAAAAAAAATGAATAAATTTGATATGAATTTAATTGAACAGTTAATTTAATTTTACTGCAAGGTTAATACTATTTAATTACTTACAGATACGTTAAGCTTTTATATTTAAAGTTGAGAGTCACGCTTTCACTTAGGCACATGATGATGGTTATGCAACTACTATATTTGCTTGTAATTATATTAAAATTGAGTTTCATAAATCAAAAAGTATTTGGGTTGCAGTACTTGACTATTCCTGATCTAGCCTTGGCAACTTCAACAGTTAAAAAATAAAATTAGCTTAATGGTTAGTTTCCAGTGCCATGTGTTCAGGGTGATTACTGTCAACTCTTATTTCGAAGATTTAGTTACCTCCCTAAAGTCATAAAAATTCAAAAGTGTGTTACTGAATTACTGTGCAAAATATTAAATGTAGAGAGTTGAAGAAGATGCATTCACTTAAACAATTTGTAATATTTAATTTGGATTATAATTTTTTTATGTGAATGTGCATCCACGTAATAAATTTCATCCTTCTTTATGAAAAATTTATTAAAGAAAACAAACAGAATGAATACCTCAGAGTGAAAATTTTTTTATTATTTGTTCTACATGAATCAGTTGTAAAACAGTCATCCAATGTTTCATCCTAGTGTGTGTGTGTGTCTGTGTGCATGTTTGTTCAAACAAGTAAAAACCACTATCCTAATTTTGAAGAATTTGAATGAGGTCCTCGCCAGTTTACCTACTTAGATTCACTTTATCTAAATAGATTTGCTTTGGGTGTTTTGGACACATTGTAATTTGATTTATTTGTAGAGTCAATTGATGTTTGATTTGCTGTTATGGTGTCATCCAATTGGGAGCTTAAACATCACTACTGTAGGAGTCATCCAAGCTCCAGATTGGATGGCACTATGACAGCTAATTTATGTCAGTGGATTTAATGTTTAAATCAAAATATGTCACAGTGTGCCTCAGCTCAGATTTGAGAACCTTACGAGGGTGGTTAATATATATCTCAACACTTGTCTATTGGTCATTGGTGTGTATTTGGGACAGGGAAACTGGCTCTTGTTGGACAGTACCCTAAGGAAATGCATAAGGATAACATTGACCCTATTGAAAAAGAAGATGTAACTTTTATTTCAAATCAACAAACAACAAAACATTTAGAGAACTTTAATGCCTTAGATAATTACCTAGTATACTGATGCGAATCATGTTGTGCAGTCACTCACTTATTTGATTCTAAAATTATAGAGTATGTACTTGCATGTTCCAATTACATGTGCTACTTATTTTCTTGGATAGATTATTACAGAGGAAAATTGAGAAATTTCTTGCATACTAGGGAGATTGAAATAAGAGTAGGTATATAGTATATGATGTTTGATTGTGTGGACAAGATATTTTTTAATTCTAATGCATAGGTTTAGCTGGGATTTTATCCATCATTGTCACTTTCCAGTAACGTTTTTTGAAATTATATTTTTTGTCGAATTTGAAATAATATATGTGTGATCATGGTTTGTTTGTGTACAAAAAGTTTCCTTTAGCAGTTACAGTAAATTAAGTAACATTTGTTCATAACTTTTGAAAAATAAATCCTTCCTCTCTACG